GAAGCACGAGATCCTTCATATTTCGCTTTAGGATTCGCAATTGGCCTGTTCTACTCCTTCTCTCTCTCTATTTCTCCCCCCCCCTTCCCTTCATCTCTCTCTTTATACGTACATACATATACATCCATGCTCTGACTCTCTTTACCATTTCTAGCCTCTAAGAGAATCTTCTCTTTCAAAATCTTCTCTTCATCTTTAGCTTCTTCTGCTTCTGCTTCTTCTTTCACTCAATGTGTCCGAGAGAGAAAGAGCAGATTCTCTCCATGCTCTATTCGCCATTCTTCCATGCCCTCTCCCTTTACTTCACTTTTTTGTTAGTCTAATCTGTCGATCTCCATCAAGCTCCACACGATAGTTCATTCTCTTGCTTTCCTCTTTTTCTCTAATGCTCTCAGCATCTTCATCTCTCAAGCTTCTTTTGCCTATTTCTCTAGGCTATTTCTGGTCTCTCCTGGTCCACCCTCGTCTGCCGTTTATCGATCTTCCAAATACAATTACTCAGCCTTAGTTGTCTGTGTGTATGTAAAGCTTCTATGTATGTATCGTTTAGCCCATGCACATGCACATACATCACACGTGAGCATCCTACCTTCATTTACATAAACATTTCTTTTGTGGTTCAAATGAACATTTTACATTCCTTTTTCAATTCATTCTACCCTTCTTATTCCACATTTTATTTGATCTCATACCATTTATCCAATGCTTCTTTTACTCGTCTGCCCTACTCACCATCTAACATAAAGCAGATTTCCTTGCCTTCACAAATTTTTATTTTTCGTCTTCATTTCAAACTTTATTTTCTTTTTGTTTTGCCATGTTCCATCTCAATCCGGCTGGTCATTTTTTAGTTTCTTCCAAACAACTGTATCGTTTAATATTCCCTTTGCTCTATACATTTCTGCTTACATACTTACAATTCTTTCTATTCTAGTTTTCTATATTTGGGCATTCCATTAGCTTTACTTGCGTTAACGAGTGTTTAATCTTTACCTTTGACCTTTCCTCTCTTTCTTCATATACAAATTTTTTTTTGGTGAGCATTTATTCTTCCAGCTTAATATCATTTTAGTTTTTTAACCTTCTCATCTCTTCCATATAAACTATTCTTCCATTGACTCTGCTTCTAACCTTCGTCTCCGTATTAATCGATCCTTTTCTATCACACATCAATTTATTTCAATTCAAAATCCTTCAATTTATGAAGAAAAAAAATTTTTTTTTTACTTATTTAACAAAATACATTTTATATTAGTCTTTTTCATGTATTATATATATCCTATATAATATATAAGCTTTCTTACATCATTCTTTGCCAGACCATTGATTTTTTTGTTGCCACAAATATTTTTTCAGTCTCTTTCTCTCTTTTCCAGCTTATTATGTGGCTGTCGACCAGAATATGGGTGAACCTATGTATGTGTTCTTTTGTGGCCATTGCCCAGTTTGTCCTGCTCACATCACAAACTTCTTTTAAAACAAAGAAAACAGATAGATAGATGATGTGAGAGTGAATGAAACAAAATAAAAATAAATAAATTAAAAAAATATGATCGATGCGCAAATTTTCTTATAATTTAAGCGGTTAGCTGCATTAAAAATAACTAAAAAAATGCCTTTTTCTTCTTCTTCTTCTTCTTCTTCTTCTTCTTCTATAATATTCCGTCAAAAACAAAATAGCACACAACTCATGCCTACACTACTCTTCTTACTCCTCTCAAAACGATAATTCAAATTTCGCACAATATTTTTTTTCTTACAATATTCCAGTATACATATTCGTTGCGAGATGCGTACCACCCCACCTCCTCGTCGTCCCATACACCAACTAATTAGAATACGTGAAATCTCGCTGCTGTACACATTACGTGACATTTTCATTTTCACTCACAAAGTTTGCGCATGCCGGTTGCATTCCCTTCTGTTCTCCTTTTTCTTTTTTTTTCATTTTCATCTTCTTTTTTTTTCATCATTTTTTTTACTATATTAGACATCATAATAGCCATATATGCTCATATAGTTTATAGTGGAAAATGTCTTTTGTCTCTTTGTTTCATATGGTTTTCTTCATCATTCCATTTTCCTCTTTTATTTTTTTTTTCTGATCCACTTTTGGTCCGTTTACGTTTTATCTCTCTGTCTCTCTATCTCTCTCTCTCTCTGCTCTAATGTACACTTAATAACTTCATTTTTCGTTATATTAGGTAATACCAACAGAAACTCCGTTTTATGCTATCATTTTGATGGAATTATTAGGTTGTTTGTTTGTGTGAATGTGAATTTCATGGAAACAGGACACAAAGTAAATATAAATTGACTTTTGCATGAGAAAACTATTGAAATTTCATAATCTTGTTCGTCCTCCTTTTTTAATTAATTGTTTAAAAGCTTTTAACACGGCTTTCGCTTCCCACGTAACTTTCCATGTTTTTTAGAGAAAGAATTTAATTAAAGTATTTCAAAAACTTTTCTTCACGCCTTTTTTGTGCTTGTGTCAGCTTACAACTTACTGCTCTTATCCTCATTTACGTCTTTTCCTTCATTCGTCTTTCTCTTTTTTTTGTATGTGCAAATAATCCATTGTTTTGTTGTATAATATTTGAATAATAATTGAATATTATGCATAATGTAATTCGCTTTAATTGGTAATTCGAATAATTGCCGAAATCGGATAAGATATAGGTGAGCGCTGTTACGTTCAGCTTCATATCCGCGCTTGTCATTGCTCTCGTAATGATTGTGATTGTTGCCAAGTCAATTTGAAATATTTTAAATGAACTTAGTCACACATGTGTCGAAATTCTAATATTCTCAAATAAGATAATCGAAATATTTTCTCGTAAAATTTACGTATTAATTTTTTCATTTGTATTCGTTACAAATACTTGAACGCTCATCTCAATTCTCTTCTCTGCAGTCAAGCCTGTAGTCATCTGGATGCTCCAAAAGTCTCTTTGTTACTTTAATATTCAGTAACAGCCAAAAACTACGTGATTAACTTGACTGTGATCAAATTCTCTTCTTCTCTGCCTGTGATGGTTTCTCTCGTTAAATTGCTAGGCTTTTTTCCTATTTCTGTTTTCTCTCTCTTTCTGCCTATTTCTTTCTGTCTGTCCTCCTTCTAGGACCTTGTTTTTGCTTTTCTTTCTATGCTGAATCAGATGTTATCGAGCATCTGCTCTCTTAAAAATAACTCTCTTATTTCCGCATCTTCTTCGTACGTTAGCGCTTTCGTTTGTCTGTCTATCTTTCAGTCGTTTCTGTCCATTACTTTGCCTTTTTCGTATTTTAAATGTGGAGTTCATTCTTGTCATCTCTCTCCTTTTCCATCTCTGAAACTCGTGCATTTTCTCTCTCGTACTCATCTTTTCTCACAATCTAAGATCTTTCTATTCTCTCTATACATATATATATATCTATCTATCTCACTCTTTTAAAAGATTCCTGTCAGTACTTTGGCTTTTCCGTCCTACTGCTAAGCCGGATAGTTCCTATTAGAGCTTTTTTCGTCAACATATCACATCTAATTCGTTTAACTCTTTCCGTACTTTACTTTTCTGAACATTTAATCGTTTGGTGTATATGTGATGTCTTTTTTTGACTTTATCGTCTATTTCTCTGACGGCTCTTCGTTTTTTCTTCTTTTTCGCAATCTCTCACTTCAGAGCTTCTTCGTTAAGTCTGTGATCTAGTTGATCTTTTTCTTTTCATCCACTAAAGCAGTCCAATCATCACTTAGTCTATTTCCAGTTCAGTTTGTGCATTTTCCTGTTCGTTTTCATTTTTCACTCTCTCTCTCTCTCTCTCTCTCTCTCTCTCTCTCTCTCTCTCTTTTTCTTTCTCTGAGTCCTTCTCTCTTTCCTGATCTTACATGGGCATCGTCATTAATCAGAAGGAGCTGTATGTTAGTCAGGCCTTTTTTCATATTCATGACGTTTCTTTTACCTTTTCGCCATTTCCTCTCCACATTATATTGAGCTTTTGAATGAAGTTCCTACTTATTTTGTCGTCTCGCAATCTTCATATTTTCAATGCTTTCATCTCCTTGTCTATATTAGCCACTTCTTCCATCCATTTTTGTGCACAGCTCTGTTTTCATCTGCATTCATGTATTCTTTTTTCTCTTTTCCTTGTCGCTATTAGTTCCTTCAAAGTTTTTTTGTTTTGTTTCGTTATTGATCTCTCTTTCCAATTTCACCTTTATGTTGTCCTTGCCCAATATACTTACATATAGTAATAAGTAATTTTTAAAATTCTCAAAATCTCATACACCAATATATTAGAACCTTCTAACATCATGTTGATCGGCTTAAGCTTTCCATTTGCTCTTTATATGTTCTTTTTTTCTCGTCCGCCTAACATTATGTGTGGATCTTTGAATATTTTCTGATTCGTTCAATCGTTCTGACCTTATTAGACAAATGAATATTATTCAAACTCTAATTTTACAGGTATCGCCTCTAAAGTAAGTGATGTCATCATTTTAATATTCTATGTGAGAACTGCAAGCGGCTGGTCGCCTTCTAGCCGATTCTTCGAGCGACCAAGTCTTTCTACTACTTTTTCTTCAAGAATTTCATATATCTATATTTATATTATATAATACTTAATATTCAATATTTGAGCATTAGTAAGGTAAGTCTCTTTTTCTATTAAATGTTGAATTCTGTGAAAAATTGTATTTCTTGCTTGTAGCCGAAACAATTCTGTTCTCACACTATACTTCTGACTTCGGTTAGTCATGTCCATACTTCTTTTTCAGTAATTGAAACTATAATTAGCGTCCCACACTCTGATCTCTCTGTCTCTCTCTCTCTCTCTTTAGGTTTTTAAGAACTTTGTTCTTACTCTAAGATTCCTGAAATTTACAAATTGACATCCAACCGATGTCTTTCTTTTCCTGTTTTCTCTTCGTCTCACTCACTCTCTCTTTACTCTACGACTTCCCCTAAAGCACACTCAAATAATTTTATTGCAATTACTTCTTTCATTTCAGAAAAATGATGGAAGATCCAATGATGCCTGATCTATCACATTTATCAGCTGAAGAGCGCGAGATCATTGAGCAAGTTTTGCGTCGACAGAAGGAAGAAGAATCAAAAGATGTTCAGATGACCATGTATGTTTACAAAACTAAAATTGAAGCAGACCATTTTTCAAAAATTCAATCTGAGAAGACATCTGACGTCATGATGTCAGTACTTCCTTTCGTCAGCTTCTCACCCACCCCATCTACGCATTCAGCAACTTTCTGCAAACTCTTTCTCTCATCTCGGTTCTCCCTACTCCCTCTCCCTCTTTATGTCTCCTTTTCTCATCTTCTCTCTATGCCATTTTATCCCTATTTGGCTTGTTGTTCATTTCTTCTCTATCATTGTGTATCTGTTGTGTTTCATTGTTCCATTACTCGGATAGAAAAGAGTTAAGACATGGAAATGAGGGTGGCAAACTCCAGAAAGAGAAAAGCTTCATCTGGCAACTTGATACGAACGTATTTGGCCTGAAATTTAATGCTCTCAAGCTCACAGTCCATCCATGAACTGCCTCGAGTATACACAGAAAAGATGGATTCACACGCATACACACTCATACGTGTACACATACTCATATGAAACACAAAAAATACTAAAAACTTTCCTTAAAAGGATTAATTACTCAAGCGAGATTGCCCCTCTTGTTATCAATAAAACGGTCACTCTAATCATAGCCTTCCACTCTTATTATAGCTCTCGCCAAGGTTCCAAACGCTTTTGATGACGTGTCAAGAGAGAAATAAAAAAAGAACATTTTTTGGAACGTGAAATTTACGTGTAAACTTGTGACGTCACTTTTTTACTGGAAAACAAGCTCCTCAAGCTACATCATTTAAACTCCATGCAAATATGTGAATTTATAACACTCCAAAAAGAACGACGAGGTGCAGAAGTGCAAATCAAGAGTCGAAACTCGGAAAGAAGACCTCCGATTTACGTCATCAAAGTCTTTCTCTCTTTCTCGCTATCTCTCTCCCTGTTGACCCATGTTTGTTTGGTTGATTTTTTTGATTTTTTTCATTAAAAAATCTGGAAAAAAAACCTTACATGAAACGACTGATTTTAGCTCTCTCTTTATCTCTCAAGACCTCTCCTCTCATCTGTTCCCTCTTCCACAATTTTCCGTTGAGAGAATAAGAAAAATGTTCCAATTTATATTTTTTCATGGACCTCGATTGCAAATCTGCGCCTCATGTTGTCCGAGCACTATCTTCATTCAGATTGCTTGGCTTCTGGCTGTCCAAAATGGAATTCCTTGGTTGAGTACTCAAAGATGCCAATTATGGTCAATGCCTAGAACATCCAGTGTGCTTTCCCTTTCTCTCAAAAATGTTCTGTTTTCTTTAGCCCCTACATCTTCTCTTCTTTTTACTTATTCTTTCTCTCTCTTCAGTTTCTACTTTGTGCTGCAATTTTTTTCACTCTCCCCTCTCTTTTCATCCTTCTACCCTCATTCTTTCTCTCTCATTCGGCCTGCGTATGTGTATATGTATATATATGCTTTTACGCTTCAGTTTGCTGAGAAAGCTGAACTTTTTTTTATACGAAAGAGTGAATATTCCTCTCTCTGAGTTTTATTTTTTTCATTATCTAACAAACATAAGCTGTTAGATTATGAAGTTTTGAAGAAAAAACAAAATCGCCAATCTAAATTGACGAGAAATAATTGAAGTTTATTGGAGAAATGAAACGTTCTGCCGAACTGAAGCATGAATTTGTAAACAAAACAATAATGTCTGAAGTATGCTCTAATAATAATTCCGATAATTATTATTCAAAATTAGAAAAGCGCTGGCTACGCCAGGCAGTTTGAGGGAATTTGAAATTGAAGAATGGTGGCGCGCATGTCGAGCAAAAATGAAAAAAAAGGTTTTCTAATTAATTTTAATTACTTTCAGAAAAGCTGATGAAGAGTTAGACCAAATAGAACGTCAAATTAATGAAAGAAAAGAATCTGCGCGACGATTAGTTGGAACACAGGATGATGCAATCTGCCAAATTTGTCAAAAAACAAAGTTTGCCGATGGCATAGGTACGTTTTATAGCTACCACGATTTTCTTCATTAAGTTCATTTGCTTCTTTTCTTTTTAAAGCTAAACTGAATAAAACTTTTCAGGGCATAAATGCTTTTATTGTCAATTACGGAGTTGTGCTCGATGTGGTGGACGAGCTCAAAGTAAAAACAAAGTAAGAAATTTTACTTGACGATAAAATAATGTTGTTTTGCATCTTTGAAACGACACTTCGATGTTTATGTACATTTGATATTTATTTAGGCTATATGGGCTTGCTCGTTATGCCAAAAAAGACAACAGATTTTGGCTCGAACTGGGAAATGGTTTCAACCTGAAGAAGAAAGATGCCCGAAAATGAGCAATGCAGGGATGCCAAGTCCTAGCCAACCAGTCGCTCCTAGGTATGTTTATGAATGTAATTCATAGAATATTATCCTCCTCTCCATTGTTCTTCTCCCAAAAACATAATACTTTGTTTCTTATGTGCTCTGGAAGCCACAACTTTTCTCATTTGAAGATCTTTGTTTTATAACTATTACAAGAGATGATGCTAATATATTTTTAGCATTGGACCTTCCACATCCGGCTCAAATCCGCAAATTATTGTTCCTCCTTCTAACTCGAATCCAAATTTGAATGGTCCACAGGTAATACTTTCTTATTTCTTTTTATGTTTATTTCCTTTTGTGAATACTTTTTCGTAGTATTCCGTTTTAACTAATATTATTTTGTTTTCATCTAGATTAACCAACAACATTCTGCTGGTGTCAATCAACGGCTGACGTCTTCTCAAACATCACAACCATCTAGACAGCAAGGTTCGCATCGCTGTTAATGTATAATTGCATTAAAAAATTTTACAATTGAAGGAAACGGCCAATTACCGATGGCTACAACGTCTTCTAATACGCAAAGAGGCTCAATGAGTCAACAACAAGCGAAATCTGGTTCAGAAATGCGTAAGCAGAATACATTGCAGAGGCAGCCAACATTAGAGGTATTGATAGAGAATCATGCTTGAATTTTTGAACATTCAATAATTGTGTTCTTTACAGAATGATCTACGACAGCCAAATGGATCAGTAGTTCATCAGAGGCACTCAAATATGCAGCGGTCTAATGAAGCCCCGTCTAGCTCAACAACTTCGAGGTTATAGATATTTCCATACTCACACTGAGCATCGATTTTTAGAACATTGAATGATCGTCCTCATGAAGACCATCGGAATAGGAGGCATGTTTACTTCAAATATTTGAGAATATCAAAGTATATTTTTCCAGGAATATAGAAAATACTTCACCGTTCGCTTCTAATCCTGACGGACCGTTCAATGATAGGCGAGATGGAAGGTTAGTCATCATCATCACATTTAGCAATTTCTTTTTACTTCGAATAAGAAGTGTTTTATAAATTTAGTAGTGCAAAAAATGCTATTAATAATCTTTCATCGAACGTCAAGCGGAGAGCTTCTCCGATTCGGAATCAAAGGTCTTTTTGATTTTTTGATTGAGTTTTAACTTGTTTCTGCGATGTTCCGTTATCTTTTTAATCAATTTTCATTTAACTAATGCATGACCCTTATTTTCTGGCTTGTTAATGTTTTCTAAACTGAATGAGCTCTGTTCTAACATTATGTTATCCTATCAATGATGTGTTATCGCGACATTTAAATCCTACTTTCCAGAATATCTGATCGTCGAACGTCTCAGCCTACGAACAAATCTCCAAATGAACGGTTTCAATTCTTTTGATTCATCTTACTTACGTTTATCCTTTCAGGCAATCACCTGTGAGGAATGGTCCATTTGATGGTAGACCGAATGAGGAATACTACAACAATTCTAGACAAAGTAAGCTCGTTTTTCATCGATATTTTTCTTCTTTACAATATGAAAATTCCCTTTTCTTCTCCACCTCCTTCTTGTTCGATCCATTTTGGCAGGAAAAATTCTATTATTTTCTCTAATAGACTAATAGCATCCAAACTTACAGCCGAGTTTCGTCGATCACGATCCATTCGTGAGGATGAGGGCCGTCGTGGCTCAATTGGCGTCCGATTGAATCCTACTCTACCGGCAGCGGAGGTAGCTCCAGTTCCAGTGGCAAATCCGCCAACCAGCGTTTTTTCATCTGCAACGGCTACAGCAAATCAACGGCAAAAGAAATCGCGTTTGCATAGGTTTGCTATTTATTAAGTTTTAAATTGTGGTGTGGGTGAGCTGCTTTGATTTGCTTACGTAATTTCCGAAAAATCTTTTTCCAAATTTTTTCGCTCAACAATAGCGACAGAAATGGAAAAGGAGAGAGAGAGTGAGAGATGGATATACAACCAGTGAATGAAGCGAATGAAAGGATTATCATCATTGTAGGATTCATTCCTTCAAGTTGGCCAGCTGTGTTCGAGCGAAATATTTTTTTATCCAAATTTAAGTTTAATCTTCAAACAAAGCTGGATAACTTTATTTTTATACGTACAATTAGTTTTGAATGTCACAAAACAAGAGACAGTTAGAACAACTTTCATACATTTATCAATTCCCTTTTGTTGAGAAAAGATTTTTTCATTTTGCGAGTTGAAAGTCACATTTTAGTGAGGTATATGTAGCTTTGTGTACTTTGATGTATATGTTCTTTCGAGCTCTTCTACTAGCCAAGCAAGCCTTTAATTGATCTAGATACTTTATATGTATTCACAAAGCTCATAAGACTTTAAGAATTTGAAATTTTTTTATTCTCGTGTGAATGTATGTGAGTGTGAGTGTGTGTATGTGTGTGTGTATGTATGCGTATGTGCGCTAGTGAGGAGAAGAAGTGAAAAGTGTTGGGGTATATGAGAGCTTAGCAAAGCAATTTCTTTTCCAATTCCTTGTCTATTTGCATCAGTTCTAATTAACTGAATGGACCTAAAAAGAGCTCGTTGGCAGTCTACCGATGTTTGTGCGAAAAGCAAAAATTATTTTGTTTAAAAAAGGAGAGAGTATAAGAAGAAAAGAGAATGAAGAGGTTGAAAGACTGATCAAAACGGGATACTTGAAATTACCAAAAAATACAACATATACGATATTCAAAGGATATGAGTTCGATGCTCTCAAGTCAAACCGCTCGAGATAGCAAAACGTCCCATCTCTCTTTTTTCAAATGTTTTTCTTGTATTTTACATGAATTTTCGTGTTTTCAGACAAATACGCTCCATGTCGAGTTCGGATGAGGAAGTTGCCACCACATCAGAAGGTTTTGTTGGAGAAGATGCTAGGCAGCGTGTTCCAAATGAATGCACTTCAGAAAAGGGTTTGTGTGCGTTTAATTTTTTGACCCAAACCGTCTTACTCTGTTATTGGATGAATGCAAAAAAAGCTCAGAATAGCCAATTGAATCTAAAATAGATGATAGAATTCAATCTTTTTTTTTCAGATCTTTTACGATATATTTACGGATCGGAGAAATCGAATTCATTAAAAGGACGCAAAAGTATGTTTTGCAGATATTTTTAATCATTCCCGAGAAGCTCATGCGTTGTGTGAAAGGTTGATGACTGTTTACGAGCCTTCATCTTGGCTTAGTTCAAGCGTTTTCTCCGAAAAAAAATCGACAATCTTAGCTTCCTCCCTTACTAAAAACGTATGTATCTGTTGAAAAACGAATCGAAAATCATTTTCTCATAAAAGAGAAAGGAGTTGGAGACGATCTATATCTTTCTGCTTGTTACCCTAGGGGGTTTATATGGCTAATTAGGACGAAACCTTGCTTACGACCCCGTAGACTTGTGCTCATGCATCCTCTCACTCTTTCCTTCTCTTTATTCTTTTCTCAACATACTTTCATTTCTTTTTCTCTAATTTAGTATACATATATAGACATATAGTTATTGATATATCTATATGCTCCTCCCAATCATCTTTCTTTCCGCTTTCTTTTTTCTTCTAACTAGCTAGCTGTCGTCGTGGTTGGTCGTTGCCATCATCTTCATCATCATCCTCATCATCATTGTCATTTTCCCTCATTTTCCGCCTTCCTTCCTATATATGTAGATAATATTTTTTCTCTTTCTTCTTTTCTCCGTCTTCTTCTCTCTCTGCAATATCCTTTGTTCATATTTTGTGCACGCAAAACACCCAACTTTTCTCGAATTATCAAAGCTTATTTTTTTGAACCATTAATTCTGTTTTGCCTTTTAAAGCATTTGGGTTCACTAGTTTTTGAATTGTGATGTGTTCTTAATTGTCTTCTATTATCTTTATTTTATGCAGCAGTTTAGCGCTCTCGTACTCATGCACGGACGAGTTTTATGAGAAAATGAAAAAGACAAGCTACTGCCATTTCGTTTTTTGTTTCAACCATTAAACGTTTTGCTAGTTTCTTCCCTCTTGCTCCCTCTTAGCTATAATGTTTCTTTTCACTCAGTACATTCGTGGATCTTCTTGGTCTTTCTTGTTTCTCGCCTGTTTTATTTTATGTTGTCTAATGCTCATTTATAGTACGGACTGCTAATGGCCATCAGAAGCCTTTTTGTCTATTTCCATTTATCCATCAATAGTCAACGTAACTTATTGCTTTGTCTTCCGATTTTTTTCTTTGCCTGAGGAAGTTGACTATTCAGCTTCCACCTCTATAAGGCTCTTCGCTCTTTTCCTCTTTCTACCAATCAATCGAGGAGTTATCGTATCATCATCATTCATTCTTATTCGCATATGCCAATATAAGATAAATAGAAGAGCTTATCAATAATGGCAAATGATATGAATATAGAAAAATCTGAACTGAGTACTATTGATGAAACAGAAAAAGGTGAACATTCTTCTTTTCATTCAAAATATTAGATGAATTTGTCTTGTTAAAAACATGCGTTTGAATGAGCATAGTTGACTGTTCATTAAGTTTCATTGTTATATGAATTTAACTTTCCAATTGAGCATTCCTAGAAAAACCACAAGCGCACAAGCAGAATCATATTTGAGTTATATTGACCATGGTGTGTGTGAGCGAAATTTAGAAGTTTCAATGGAAAGCTCCCATGATAGTTATTGTCCAAAGTTCTAATATTAATAAGCGTTTTCCAGCCGGAGCAGTTAGTGGCTATTCTTCTGATTGTACAGCTAATCGTCGAGATACAACAACGAATCCACCATCAGTACTGCCTGGTAATGTGTTGGCTGCTAAGATTAGGACTTATTTATCGGTTTGTCCGTGTTTTTTTTGTTGATTGAACTTTGTTTCTAGCATCCGGTGACATGGCAGCCATCAGCTGATCAAAGGCGTTTAATTGGTCACATGGTATTGCATCGAACAGATAGTTCAGTTAACGGAGATTTAGGACTCAAAGTGAGTTTTTCAAAAAGGGAAAGAATACATCGTTGTTATAGGTTGTTGGAGGAAGACGATTAGATACAGGCCGTTTAGGAGCATTTGTTACCAGAGTTAAGCCGGGAAGTGTTGCAGATACTGTCGGGCGACTACGACCTGGCAAGTTTCAAATGCCTCGAGATAATCTTATGATAACATTTATAGGAGATGAAATGCTTGAATGGAACGGGCAACCTCTTCAGAATGCTACCTATGATCAAGTTTATGAAATAATATCAGCTAGTAAACATGAATCACAAGTAGAATTAATTGTTAGTCGATCAGCATGGTAAGTCATATCTGGTTATACTGAAATTAGCAAGAATTTAACATATTCAAGTGTTCCTGGCGGTGATGATTTTCTTAACGTTCAAAACACTCCCAATCGACAATTGCCGAATCCTAAATATATCCAGAGTATTGGTAGAGGAGCATTATTTATATCATGCAACTTAATTTTTTTTTAGATCCAGATTGTTATGCCTCTCCTTCAGCGTCTCCAATGAATGTGCCCCCAGCTACAATTCCACATTCTCAATCTGTTATGCTGCCATTCCATCATCAATCTAGTCCACGTCATCGGTCAACAGCACCCGGTTTTTACTCAGGTCCGAAACTAAAACGAAATATTGCTCGGAGCTCCTCTTAATCTATGGCTTCATTTCAATAACGAAAGCTTTTTGAAAAACTAGAACGAGTCATTTGGAGCCCAGAACTGTTGCATTCTCAATATCTCTATAAAAACTGATGTCATATTAATCCCTTTCCAGAAGCTGCAATGCTAGATCAACCACAATGCTATGGCAAGGGACAAATTTTCGGACGTATCGAGGTAATAATTAAAGTCTACACTGATGTATAGTTACTATATTCCAGTTATCAATTATATTCTCTCCTCACGATCGTCAATTAAATGTAACCGTGGAAAGAGCATTTGATTTGCCACCTCGTCCTGATGGTGCTCTGCGAAACCCTTATGTGAAGCTGTTTTTACTACCTGATAGGAGGTTCGTCATGTATTTTTCGAAAGAACTACGTTAATGAAACACCGCATATTCAAATCATGCACAGCTAAAATGTTTTTCATCATCTTTCCAAAGAATCATTTCATTTTTCTACTCTTTCCGTTTTGTCCTTCTTTCTTTCCTCTCCTCAAATTGATTTTACTGGTTCGGAGAATATATGTTCGAATTCAGTTCAGTTTACTTATTTTTGAACTTTATGATTGGATTTGTTTACGCTTTAAAGACTGAGGGACGTAAACAAGTAAGTGAAGCGTATGCTAAACCGCTGATGACATTTTGTAAAATATCCTCACAATTCAAAATGTTGGACACCTCAGTAGCATACGGTTTCTGGATCCTGCTGTACGCTCCCACACAGCTGCATTCATATTTTTATGATAAGTCTGCACCTGTTTGTTTTGTTAGCTTCTTCTATCAGCTAATTCATGAAATTGATTTTCGTTGCTTAGGAGCAATGATTGTAATCTTATGAAGTCGATGGCCGCTACCAAAGCAGATGTTTTCATTTTTCTTTTCTTCCTGTGGCTGTTTGCTTTTGATGAGAACTTGAGATTTTCAATTTTTCCAGAATTTCATTATAATTTTTCTTGGTAATTCATCATTTGTCTAACGATTATTGTGAAAAATGATCTAACTCTCCCATAATTAACATAATTTCCCAAGATCTTTCTTTCAATTTATTTTTTTCAGTGAAAAATCACGAAGACAAAGTGCTGTACTCGCTGAGACAACAGCTCCATATTGGTCTGAAGCATTTTATTATCAAAATATTTCTGAAGCTCAACTGATGGAGCGTGCACTTGAAGTAAATTATATTTATGTCTACGATACTTACATTATACTTTTAGGTTACCGTCTGGGATTACGATAAATATACGACTAACTCATTCTTGGGTGAAACTCTAGTGGATTTTTCAACTATCCCATTGGATGGACAGCCTCTATTATATACATTAGTTGATATGGATGACGAAAATCCGCTAAGATTGGTTAGTTTTTGGTCTTTTCGCTATATAAATTATACTCTTTTTCTTTACAGAGGTTGCGGCAGAGGAAATTATCCCAATATTCCGGAGTTCCACAACGTCCACGAAGCGAAATGGCCTATGCTGTTTACGGTAATGGAGAATTAAATTCATTATATTATTTTAAATTATTTTTCAGATCCGTATATTGATCAACAGGATTATCCTCCAAGACACGTAGGGCCGGATCAAACCATGAGAAGATCTCGCACGTATGATAGAGCTGGTTTGGCTCAAGCTCGTCACACTCCTGTGAGGTAATTCAACCTGGATGTTGCGGATTAGGTTTAAAATGGCTGTTTTATAGAATGGAAGAAGATTGGAATATAAATCAAACTTCAGGCTATTTATCTGATTATGCTTATTCCAACCCTCCACTCCCAGTTCGCTATCATCGACAACGACGACCACGTAGTGCGACAGCAATGAGACATAGTAAATTATTTCCAAATACTTCTGAAGTTTATATTTTCCCTTCTTCAGTGACTCCTGCTGAAATGAGTGCTTCACGTATGTATTCGCGACGTCATCCAATGGAGGATCGTCAATGGGAAGATGCAGCAACTCCGGAACAACGTTATCCGCCCCAAACAAATCATTTGCGATACCCATCTGGTGATCCACGCTCTCCGAATGGTCGTCTAATGGAAGTCATGCAAGAGCAACAGGGATATGGTAGTGATGGGAGTGAAACATTAAGCATTCACTCTGCTCATAGCATGCCAGTCGTTCGGTAAGTAACTAAAAACTATTATCTCATTTCCAAAAAATGAATTCATGTTCATCTGAAATAAAGAAACGTTAGCTATTATTGATTAAAGCTGGAATGCCTGAAATGTTATTATGATGTATTTCAGAACCATTAACAGACGAGGAATGCCTCAGCCCACCAACAACGACATTCAAGAAACTTCAATGGAAGAATATATTCCTGATGAGCAAATGATGCAGTCTGTGCAGAAGAACAATCAGCAGAATATGAATATGAAGGAACGTAAAAAGAGCCTGATGACACGTTTCATTCCCGGACGTGGAGCTGGCGGTGCAGGTTTTTTTTTCTAGTAATAGTTTAACAATTCTGTTTGTTCAGAAATGAAAAGAACTGGATTCGCTCGATCTGAAGAAGTTGGAGTTCCCGGGAATTTGTCAGCTGACCGCCTGCAAGCACCATTCTTGAAACAAGCAAGCAAAGAGTCTAATGATTCTGGGGACAAGTAAGTCAATTTTTTCGAATTGTTTGTTTTCCCGGAATAGATAGGCTTGAACTTTTGTGGTTTTCAATATAGAACAAAATAAAATTGAGTTCTCGGCTAGTGTTTAGTTGTAGATTAGATATTTTTAACCAGAAGTAACTTAGCTTCTTTTGTTGCTCTTGACTGCAGTTCCTCATACCACTGAAGGTTCTTTTTCAATATGAATGAATGAAACTCTAGAAAAAAAACCTTTTGCCTTCCGAAGCATCCAAAAAAATTAAAAGACTTTCTCAATGCGAATCCCCTTGCCTTTCCACCTGCTCGTGTGTGTGCTATGTCAAGACTGCTTGCAGTTGGCTTCCCGTTCTTCCAGACGGCCCGCTCGGAACGTTCGTCGATAATCTCGGCCCAGGACAAGTTGTTGGTAGACAGGTAGTAACGGCTGCCAAAAATAGTGGAATGTTATAATTGAATTGCAGGTGTTAGCCTCGCCAGTTCTGGGCGAAATTCAGATTGCTATAATGGGTAGCCGAAATGGCATTGAGGTTGAGATAATCAAAGCAAATAACCTTGTTGTGAAGCCTGGAACAAAGACCAGCCCTGGTTAGTAGCTTTCCAATTTATTCCAAAAGCAATCGAAACATTTGAAGCTCCATACGTCAAAGTCTATTTGATGGAAGGAAAGCAGTGTATTGCTAAGGCAAAGACCAATCCCGTCAAACGAACAACGTCACCACTCATTCAACAAAGGTTGCAATTCAATGAAAATCCTAGAAGAAAAATGTTACAGGTTTGGTTTCTTATTTCTTTTATAATTGAAACGACCACTAACTTGCATTTTGCAGATCACTGTTCTAGGCGATTATGGTCGCATGGAACGGAAAGCATTTATGGGTATTGCTCAAATTCGACTAGATGATTTGGAACTCGGCCCTCAACCAATTATTGGATGGTACAAATTATATCATAGTTCATCCTTGGCCGGAACTGGTCCTATCCGGAAAGATTCTGAAACATCTCTTGCCGGTGTGCCTCAATAGGAGAACGATTTCTTCTCAGAATGGCAAAATATGTTTATTCACCAAAATCACAAATTGTTTTTCACTTTAAAAACTGTTATCCCACTTTCTTTCTTCTACATCCATTTTCAGTGCGTGCTCTTTTGTTTTTCTATCCCTATTCAATTCCACATTGAGATTTGCATTTTGATATCACGTGTACACGTGAACGCTTTAGATTGAAGTTATTTTTAGGAGTTTTGCATGAGGAACGGTTGCATACGGGTATCCTCTCTTCTTTGTTCCCTTTCTTACTCCCTCCGTCTCACCTTTTCCTATTCTTTCCTTTCCTACATTCTCTGATGCACCTTATTTGTGTTTTAGTCTCTCAGAATATTGGGTACTGGGTTCCTAACATTGCCTTAAATGATATCGCTGATTTGAAATCCCGTTTTGCTCTTGTTGATTTGATTTGGCCTAAAGTTTCTGTTTTGCAGAAGAAAGAAAGTTTTGTTTAAAAAAACGAATATTAGTCTTGCGACGTCCTTGATCTCATTCGAACCCCAAAAAAAAAATCATCTCACTTTTTACGTAAACTGACCAATTGACCACCAATCGTTACACCTCCTTTCTTCTTTGAAGCTTCTTTAATAAAAATATCTCAAAATTTAAGTCAAAAATGTTATCTTCTTATGCCAGCTTCATTCTCCGATTATGCGGGTATTGCTAGTGCTGATCTCTCTTTTTCGATGTTCAAGCTTTAAATGGCTCAATTCTGATATCTCCAAGTTTATATATGGCATCTTAGGATTATTGGCGAGTTCATTTAGCTAGAGATGCATATAGCTTTTAAAGGTTTTTGTTTTCCTTTCTCTTCATTGTGTTATATTCTTGACCTCCACCTAACAGACCTTACAGGACGTTTTGTAACATATTTTTATATTTAGCAATAATCAGAACTTTAGCTCTAACCTGTCTGTCAGACATTTGACGTTCAAAATGGGTCTATATAATTCTATTTGTTGATAGTTTCCACATATTGTTTAAATTCTGTTCGAGGAACCAAATTTCTCCGTTGCTTGAGCTTTATTCTAAAATGATAAATCAATTCAACTATGTCTTAACAAACGTTTATTTATATATACAACACTTATTAGCTATTTTTGATATAGTTTGTGCAACAACAGGAATCAAGCCATCAACCACGACAGCAGATGGGAAACAGAACCTTTTGACTAACAATTGAAGGATTTCATGTTGTAAAAACAGAAGTGATTGCGCAGATTATAAAACAATAGAAGAAGCGGCAATTCAACCAAATGAATTGATTAATTAGAAAAGTGAAGCATAAATAGGAAAATGCAGAAGAGAAAAGGGAATAGATAGACAGTCGATAGAGGCGAATTCGAAACAAGAGCGTATATAGTCAAGCATTTTAATAGAAATACCCATACGAAGAAAAATAGCATAAATGAAAAAACAAACAAAAATGGCTCATATATATATGTGAAATTATAATTTTTTAAATAATTACTGGATATTACAACTAAATCTATGTATACTATATGCAGTTTGGCTCTTAACAAACTATTACGTACCCATAGAACTGCTATATAACCTCAAATAAGGAGCTATGTGTTTAACCAAAGCGTTAATAAATTCCTGCCATTCCAAAAATCACGAAAATTAACATTTTTAACATTTAAATATTTTTCAAAGCCATCGCTATTATCACAGAGTGGTCTAACCAAGATTGACATATAATCTATTATAAAAAAAATCTTTCCTCACGTTATAAACACGAAAAAAATCACATAAGAAACTTGCAGAATCCATCAAACGGAATGAATTCATGTGGGACTAGTTGGGCTCTCTATCCTACTATCCACAGGCTCTGATGGTATTCGAGTGATTGAGTCATACTTTGAAAACGAATTTGGAGATTGAAGAGGGGACTGGATATGATCGGGTGATCGGATATGACTGTTAGGTGGGGAATGAGAATCTCGGTGATGTTCGTACCTTGAATTAATAGAACATAAGAAAATGGGATGGATGGGTGGATCTATTTTTACCTATGATGATCATAATCGTTATGATGATGACGCGGATTAGAATAAACTGGTCCGTTCCTAATTCCACGATTAGAGTATCCTGAGCCTCTTTGTTGATAGTATCCACTTCGACTGTTTCCGCCATACTAATAATAAGTTATAATAAGCTTCCGTATAAATAAGATGCTATGCTTACTGAGTTCCCTGAAGAGTGATCACGATCACGATCACCATGAGCAAATTTACATCTATTTCCGAAATGACATCCACGGGGAGATTTGAAAAACTGACAAGGACGAGCTGGCGGCCCATGATTGTGATCTAAGAAGAAACAATTATATCTAACTCCATTCTGTGAAATTTACTTGTATTTCCACCAGGGATAATAGGCATCCGTTGAACCGGCGTGGCTGGCATCGCGGGAGAATTATCAATATGTGAATGTGGATTTCGGGATTGTGATACGGAAGGTTGTTGTGGCAAGTGATGTGGAGGTCCCTGATGATTTGGAGCATTATGTGGTGGATGCATATTATGTTGTCCGTAAGAAGAGTGAGATGGTGGGAAAGACTGTATTGGCTGAAACAACTATAAATTAAGCTACGGAAGATTTCTCGAATTTACCTGAGAGCTTTGTGGTCTCATCATTCCTTGAGATATTGTGCTTATAGGTTTAGGTGGGGGTACATGAGAAGGAGCACTACTAGTGTTGGAGTTAGGCATAAGCCCAAAAGGCGGTACAAGTGCGGCAAAAGAATTAGTTGGCCCTTCACCTACTATACCCTTTTTCTTTAAACCGTCTAATAGGTTCTGAAGATTATCAGGTAAAACAGCCTTTGCAGCAGCGGCTGCAGCAGCTGATGCAACCGGAACGCTAGCTTGTGCTGGAGGTTTCTGAAACGGATTGTAAAAGGAAATATTCGTTTCCGAAAATAACCTGTGGTTCTTCCAATTCCAATGGTATAATTTTAGGAATATGTCTTGAAGCGGCAATAGGATCGAAATCTTCAAGATCTATCTCAGTTATTTCAGAAGGCCTGAAAAAATAAATTATCATTACATGTATATGAGGATTCTATTGTACATGCTGGGATCGTTGAAAGCTCTCATAGCATGTCTTTGTCTCTCTTCTTCTATAAGCTTGGCTTCACTTTTGGCTCCACGAACAAAATCTGTGAAAGTACCATCTACTCTTATTAATCTCCACTGAAAAAAGGGTTAAATTTTGAAATCATAATGAACAACTAACTCTAATATTGTTTTTTTCCTTCTCCTCTTCATCTTCCTCAATTTTTTGCTCTCCTTTGTATCTTCTCTCCATAACCAGTTCATGCTGCCTCATATCTTCAGGTGTCATATGGTTGACATTAACTAAAAAGAGTACTTATAGAAACATTTGGGAAGAGTAACATACTTCGTTCTCCTTCTTCGATTTCAAATTCTTTAATAAGAACTAACTCTTTGCCGATCTCATCAGCAAAACGAATTTTCCTACGAGCAGCCGGGACGAAATCCGGCTCATCTGTGTCGATAAATGTTGAAACTGGAGGAGCAGAAGCAACAGGCATAGGAGGAGAAGATGCTACAGGTTTACTCGGCTTGGCGGTATCAGCTAGTTTGGGTTGGTCAAAAATACCATCCTAAAACAACAATGGTGTGAAGGCTCATAAATCACAAGACAAAAAATCATATCACTAGACTACACAATATTAATCTTACCAGAATTGGATGACTATTATCCTAAACCAATTCGTTCATAAAATATATTCAGAAAACAACAAAAAAACTTACGAGAACGGTAGGTGTAGCTGACGGATCATATTGTTCCTTTTTCTCCACTGGTGCTGGAGTCTTTTTCTTTGGTACAACTCTCTTCTTAGGTTCAGAACTAACAGAGAGAGCATCCATAAACCCACTAGAGAGGGTAGCAGAAACTTCTAAAAAAGGATTTTAATACAGAACTTCTAAGCGGAAATACTTTTGACTACAGGGGCAGCCTTTTTAGGTTTCACTTCTTCTACTTTCTTGACAGCATCCGTACTGTCTCGCTTTCTTTTTGCCTCTGGTGGCTTTGCATCATCAGGCTCTTCTAATCCTAAATTAGTTGAACCTTATGCCGAACTTTAAAAATCAAAAAAAAAAGAAATACCAGCAAGCTCTCTGTGTTTTAATAGTTTCAATTTTGCCTAACTCAAATAGTCTATGACTTATTCGAACGAATTTCATAGGATTTGCACCTACACCTGTTACAGTTTTCTTTCACTTTAAAGTTACTTTGCTTTGAGATTCTTATGGCTATTTTCATATTCATTTCACATCTTTCAATCTCACAGATTGTGATGCTTTTCAACGTATAGATATTGTATTGATGTAAACACTTAATGAAATTACAAAACCCCAACACATAGAACGAGAAACTATTAACGGCAACAGAGAAAGCCGCTAGTGGTATGATTTCCGTACCTGAAAATGGGAAACAAATAATAAATTGAGGACAGTGACAGTTAATACCTGTTAAACGTGATTTCGCAGTATAAACCTTGGCTTTGACTTTGTTTTTCTTTTCTTTATTCTTCAATTTACCACTAAAATGTTTTCTTAGTTATAACCCTAAACATGAATTCTTACTCGTCGGAATCAGAAGACCTTCGCTTCTCGGTTTTTCTTTCGTTCTTCATAGGGCTGGCCATACTCTCATCAAGCCTGAAACATACATTAAGCGAAACAGCTCTTTATTCTTACTTGTCATCATCATTATCATCGTATTCTTGAACAACAGGGACAACTTTCTTTTTCTTCTCTTTCTTAGGAACTTCTGGATTGGCTACTTCTTGTTTCCATTTACTTACACAATTACTTGCCAACTTTTTAATATCTGAAAAGAGTAAATCCTAAATCACTTATGTACTTATCAACAAACCCGAATCCGAATGTTCCTTCGATAACCTCCTTACAAACTTTGGAGTATCGTTTGACATCAGCAGGTCAACAGATACCTTAGCCTGCAAAAGCCTACTTATTAATTGTATTAACTTGTTTCGAAAGCGGAAAGAACAAGAGCAAAATAATGAAAGATGAGCGATGTTAGCTACGACGAATGATACGAGAACGAAAAGAGAAACATAAATATGGATTTAAATTCAAAGAACCGCTTGTGAAATTGAATAAAATTAAGGTTTCATAGAACTAAAGGGCATCCCCCAGCTCTAAGTTAGATTTAATTATGCAAAGCAAACAATAGTGAATGCGTTATTAGCTCAAAAAGGTGATCCCCGTAATCCAGGACGCTAAATCAGACGCCACAGTACTCCTTTTACAGAAAATATCCGGCGCGTGTAATCTACCTGCTACCCCAAATTTAATCAACAAGGTATATAGCTCTTAATTAGCCTGTTAAGAAAACTATTCTACCTGTAGACATTGACGAAGCAGATCCTTAAGGTGAACATTTTTTTTCTCTTTTTCGGCTTGTTTAAGCCAATTATTCATTTGCTTCCAACCTTCCTCAGTTCCAATTCGTTGAAGTGCAGCTGCTTGTGCTAATTCGCTGCAAATTAAAGATTCCCAGAAACAGTGGATAAAGTAAAATGTGTCTTGTCAAGAATCACTAAGTTAACGTTCACCAATGAACAACCAAGTTTTTCGATAAAAATATAATCAAATAAATAAATTACGTACGTGGCACTCAACGCCACATTCTCGGGCTTTTTCTTCTTGGGGATTGTCAAGTTAAGGGGCTTCACACTATTATTGGATGAAATAGCATTGCTAGCAACATTCGGGATATTAACTGCTGCACAATGAGCAGATCCACTTTGAGGAACAGTATTGTGATTACTATAAAATCTGTACACAGGCTGCTCAAACGTATTCAATGATGTGGAAGGCTGAATGTGATGAGAAGGACGAACATAGTCGCCGTGATCAACCTAAGAATTGTACAACCGTTGAAGTCTTCAAAACCGATAAATACCATTCTCGAGATTGCCTCAGGTGTTGAGGTTAAGACTTCAGTCTCGGGGGAATGGATTCTTTGATAAGAGTTTTTGTACATATTGTTACCCATATGAGATGAAACGTTTTGTGATCGAGGAATCAGGCGAACCTATAAAACATATTTTCCTTTAACATTATTGAAGATAGATAAAAAATAGAATAGGAATATGAAGCCCAACCTGCTTCGGAGGTAATCCTGGCTTAGGCTGTACATATACAACTTGAGAAGGGGCAGATGGAATCGAAACTCTTTTAAAAACATTTTTCTAAACACAGGTATGACTTAACATAGAAACACTAGTATACCTTCTGAGCATCTATTGCGTGCTGTGGGTATGAGACTAATTGGATCTAAATAGATAGAGGTCAAGACAAGAACTTTGCCATTGGATATACCTTCTGAATGACATGCGGGGGATTTTCGGGCATATAAGGCTCGTAGCTAGTAGAGTTCATACTGTTCATGTTGATGTTGTTCATATTGCTCATGCCATCTATATTCATATTATCCACATTATTCGGCATCATGTAACCCTGCTTCAAAAGATCATGATAAAAAAATAAATCTGACCGAAATTAACCTGGGGTTGTGAGCACATCACGATAGAATTATCATAGTTATACTTTTGATGATCCATGCTATTTTCCATTTGATTTGATTGAAGCTAAATTATAATTAGTGGTTATATTATGATGTAGTTCCAACTCACCCCCGAGTAATTATTGTCATGTATATACATTCCTGAACCCATTTGGTCAATATAGCCGTAGGAGTTGTCTAAAGCCATATCCTTAACAAAAAGCTTTCAGTTTAAAACGGTAAGAACGAATGTACCATTGGCTGAGGATCTACGTACGACAAACCCGCCACCTGCATATCTCCAGAATAAGGTTCATGATGGTGGTTTATGGCACTTGCAGCGCATTCTGCCGCAAACTCGTCAGTCAGGTCTTCTAACTCAACTTCTAGCGCGCTATCGCCATACATCATCATTCTGTAAAAGTAGGAATAAGAAATTCATGAAACGACAAGCCCTCTAACACTTCCACACTTTTTTCTCGAAAAGCTAGCGACCAAAATCAAAACAAGACCGCACCTAACGCATTGAAAATTAAAAATGACTTCACGTGTCCCACGTAACGTAAAAGATGATTATCGATTTGTTGGTTGTTTTTCATTTGTCTTTTTGAAAATTCCGTGTTCAATAATGGTTTAACCGTTTAGTAGGTATATTGTAGTGTTTTCAATCGTTAAAGTATTACATTCTGCTCATTTTCATTCTTTCCATTTCATCGTAAAATGGCCTTATTAGGAAATTTGAGAATAGTCATAACCAGGCATAGAAAATGACACAAAAAAAGAATTCATTTGCAAGTTTATATCGCTTATTGATGCTATCAAAACAGAAAGAATAACTTACTTACCTTTACAAAATAAATAAAATAGATTTGAAACTCATGCACACTTCTTTCTGTGCACTGAATCGTCATATGATGTTCACAACGACTAAAAATCAATAAATAGAATTGTAAATGCACAGTTAAAATGAAATATATTAAATATCATATTGCTTTTTAGAACTTTATCAGAATAAAAACTAATATAACTTTCTGAAAAATCGGTTGCTTTATCAAAAATATCTTTAGGCCGATCAATAGCGCCAAAGACGCCATGTTGTACACTTTCGAAACACCAGATTCGCGTCAGACAGAACAAAGGCGCCAACTTTGAACGAGATTATTTGCGCCTCTGGTAAAGTTGTTGAGATTCCTGTTTTTTGTACACGTAGTTTGTGACTGACTTGGGTTCATTGGATATTTGATACGTTAGGTATTATAGCTTGATTTCGGATATGGGAGATCAAAAGTTTCAGTTTTATAAGAAAATCATGGGAAAATAGTTTATTCAGAATCTCAATTCCAGATGTGATTTCAGTATTTTCGAATTTTATGCTTTCTGTAGAAATGTTAAACGATATGAAGTTAACATCAATCGTTCTTAAACGAACATTGAATGATCTTTTGTTGACCCGTTCTGATATAATTGTCTGTTGTTATCCTCTACTTGGATATTATTCCTCCTGACATTCCGATGTAGTAAAACCAATAAAATATATTGAAAGCTGTGAATAGTAATGGGAATAGCTTGGCAGAAATCTGTCAAAAAAGCCAATTTCAATTGAAGAAGATGTTGATCTACCTCATCTATCTGTTCGCCATTCACATGAACTGGTTGTTCAACTGTCATATAAATTTTTTGTAAACGTTGACGGTCTTCCAAGCGCTTTCGACGTAAGTGTCCATTCCCATCATGATTTTGGAGAAGAGGAGCTCCCGATGGAGGTGGTAATTCTATTGAGATCTGTTTGTGTTCGTCTGTGTGTAATAAATACCTTCACTAGGTAAACGGGCATCTGTATAAATATGTCGTTGTTGACCCATACGTGAAAGCCATTGCTGTTCTGAGTCGGATCGCAACAGCAGTTGTTCTTTGGTACGAGCTATACGTCGTCGTTTTGCATCCACTTTATCGGCAAATCCCACAACAGCTAACTATAAATAAAAACTTTTAAAACTGATAATGATATTTTATCAATGATGTCAACCGCTCAGTAAGTCTTAATTTATGAGAAATGAATTTGCCACGTATCAGTTCGCATCGCTATCACGTAGCAATATTGACAGTAATAGATTTGGAAGCGAAAGCATGAGCAAAACTTCATTTCATTATATTTTTCAATATGACTAAATGTAAGCAGCGTACCTCTACTAGTGATAAGAAGATGAAGCCAACACAGCCAAACATCCAAATATCTAGAGCCTATTAAATGAAAATAAAGTTATAAATGATCAAAGATAGTACACACTGCATTACCTTAACATAACTAACACGAGGTAGATTCTTAACGATGTTACCAAATTGAAAGGTCAAAGCCATGAGTGATGATACTCCTAATGTTATTCGGGCTGGTAAAGCCTTAAATAATATATTATTATTATGACAAAAAAAGGAAAAGGAATTCTGATTAACCTTCGTATCAATCCAGAAAGCTATCCAAGAGATGAAAACAGATAAATAAGTTGGCATATAAGCCTGAAAATTAATAAATAATTAATATAAAAAAAGAAAATTATGCATTACCTGCAACACATAATATCCATACAAACGTCTAAATGTAAATTGAACTTCCAATTGATCCCATAGTCCAGCCGTATAAACAAGAGTTGCATTTCGATGTCTATAATGATGATAATATAATTATGTGTATAATAATATAAATATTATATACTCATAGGTTATCAATTCAAAGTCAGGGAGATTCTTAGAATCTGGATCTGGTATAGAGACAGGCTCCCAATCTCTCCATACTATACGTACTTCAGCTGTATTGAATGAATAACTCTAAATAGATTGTCATATTAATGTTTTTACTATGAAATGTAATTGACTTCAAATATTAAATTACAAGACTGTCTGTCCATTGGAAAGTATGTTAAATCTAATTTGCATGGACCAATTAAGGAAACACGAAAATTGAGCCAAATTGTTCCATTGGGAAAGATGAGCAATAAGATATTCTGTGATGGTGATGAATGTATTTCAACCTGTAATTCATAATAATTGTTCAAGATGACACAGTGAAGATGTCATGAAAGACCTTCTTGCTGTTTACGAAGCAGACATTCGGTGACCAGAGTTGTGGCAACTTATGAGCTGCTAATGAAATGTTTTTGATACAATAGTTCCTATCAGTAAAATCAAGACGAGGATCGCGCCATATTTGTGAAAACCATACATCAGCTTTGAATGATGATGAGAATTCACTGATTTCTGTGATGGATTGAACAGTCAGCTCAACAATAACCTATAATATTATGATATTTCCTTATTAGATGCATCATCATCAGCTGAAACCTCTGTTGAATTGGAGCTGGGCAAGTTATTCTTATCGTAGTTTTCAGAAAATAGTTCCTGAAATCAAATAGTTCATGTGGGTAAAACGCAATTAATTTTCTGTTTTAGTGTTCAGTTCAGCTTTCACTTCAACTGCCCAGTTCTCTTGTCTTTAAAAAGAAATTTAAACAAAATGAAGAGGATTTGTGACGAAAAGACATAAGATTAACAAATTCTCTTCCGCATTGTCACATTTTTTCAAATCCATTCACCCCATACATGGACATACACATAGACACGTCGTTCTTCTTAATATTATTGATAAACGAATTGAGGACATGCAGCTTATATATAGAATGAAAAGAGATTTTTCGCATAATTTTCATCCAAATAAAGATGTTCTCGACAATTCCTTTCATGGCATTTTCTATGACGCTGTGAAGTTGTTTTTAAGAGAATCATAAATGACATCAATTCGTATTCGGTTTTTTTAATAAGAAAGAAAAATCTCTACGTCTCTTATTTAAAAAATTGTCGAACATTTTCATTCCCAGCAATCAGCTTGGATGAACTATAAAGCTGAACCAGCTTGTGACAATTAGCATACGCAAATAAGTGGAAAAAGTAAAAACTGACTGAAATTAAAAAAAATGAAACTTAGTTTTTTTTCTTCTTCTTCACACTAAATAATGTTCGGGTGGATGGGATGTCAATTGATGTCAAGCTCATTCACCTCAGTTCTTCTCAGAGAGAATTTTCATAAATAAAGTTTGAAATTCCAATTTTGGAAGCTTATAATTTCATCTGATGGACAACCGCTAGAGAAAATCCCTGAATGCTAGCAACTTCTTGAAGCTTTCGCTCGTTTTACTTTTTCAACCATCTATCCATCTTTCTTCTCTCTTTCTATTTAGTCTCTCTCTCTCTCTCTCTATCTTTTTTCTCTTTTTTTGTTTCCCTCACTACTTATTCTCGATCTCTGTCTTTCTCTGCCCTCTGGAAAGCCCTCTTAAGGTTTTTGTTGTTTTCCGTTAACCAGTAACGGTTTTCCGTTCTTATCCATTTTTACACCACACGAGCCTGCCCTTCATTCCGATTCCACTTGGTTTGGCAAACCAAAAAAGAGTTTACTTTTGATTTTCTATTCAGTAATTATGAGTTATCCAACTACAATTCACTTATAACGTTATAAAAAGAATTTCTTTTGTGTTTGAAGCTCTTATAAGAGCAAAAAAAAATTTTTTTCTTTTTTTCTGTTCTCATTGAATAAAAGCAACAGACGAATGAACAACTGCAAATCATCTCTCTAAAGTGAGTACGTTCAAAAGATCAGTCAGAATGTCTGATTCAAAAGAACTTTCCAAACTTCAATAGATAAGGGATTATGGTTTGAAGATTCATACTCAGCTTCTTTGTCTCGAGATACTCCTTGCTCGTCCAATCATCACAAAGAGTGGAATCAAGAGAAATTTACTTTTTTTTCTTTGAGCTTCAACATAACGTTCTAAGTTTGTTATGCACCGTTGCTCCAGTAAATTAGTGGATATGAAGTGACACATCAATCCTTTATACAAAGAGCTTACCAAGAGAGAGAGGGAGGTAGGGAAGAAGAGAGGAAAATAGAGAGAGAGAGAGAGAGGGATAAGAGAGCTAAGAGGGATGAACATATAATAGGCAGAAGAGAAAGGAGTGTGAAGCCTTTATTTGGACGAACTTTCATATTATCAAAAGGATAAATAATGAAATAAAAACTCAAAAGAGGCAAATGAGAGAAGATTAACAACAACATGCGATATTTACCATTACTTGGAGAACTTTGAATATTGCCTACGAATAGAAAAAAATAAAAAAAAACCTTTCTCACTCAGCCTTCTGGATTAAGAAAACGAAATTTTCAAATATTATTCATGATTCTCTCCCTCTATCTTTTCTTCTTTGCTTATCTCTCTCTCTCTTTCTCTCTATTCTTCTTACTTCACGTCTCCATCTTTGCTCCTCTCATGCTCTATTATCCTTTCCTATATCTTCTATTCGTATATTTCCTTTCTTTCTTAAAGATAGTCAAAGAGGGAGGTAAGAAGAGAGAGAGAGAAGGAGAGATTATAAGACAGAAAGAGAAAGAGAGAGGAATAAAAACTTGCTCTTATAGTTTTCTTTTTTTCTCATTCTCCCTCAAAGGTAAATTGCAAGGAAGCTGCATAAGACGTAACGATTTGTTAGAATAGTTGAGTAAGTAAAATATTTGGAAAGACGGGTCATATAAAAAGACTGAAAGAAGGAAAAAGCACCTTCAAAACCAGAAAATATGTATATAATGACGTCATGAATAGTATGAATATCATTCTTTTATGTGAATTTGTTTCTTTTTCTTCGTCTTCTTCTTCTTTAACTGCTTATACAGAGGCATTTTTCCATTGATGCAGTTCATAACTAGTTCACGTGCATGGAATTTATAAATTTGCCTCACGTGAGCTCATTTCCTTTCTCACGCAGATATGAGGATCGGTTGTATTTTTGCGACATCTCCTATTCACCATTTCCTTATTTCTTTCTTTTTCTTAGATTCTCTCTGCTTCTTCTTTTCCTTCTTTTTTTTTTATTTTGTGTCATCATCTACAAACTCTCTTTGAGAGACATTTTATTTCCTTCAAACTTTCTTTCTATGACTTTCCTTCATCATTTCAATCCACAATTCAATTGAAAAGTAGATGGGCAAAACGAAATGAGCAGAGATAACTTTCAGTCAGAAAAATGTTGAATCATGACCATATATGGAATGATTGAATGTTAAAGAAGAGATGTAGGTGATGAACAACAAGATACATCCAAATAGCATAATCTATTAAGAAAGCCGAAACAACAAAAAGGTAATAAATAGCCTCAGGCTGTTCACCTCTATTCCTCTCTATGTTGTTCTCTCCCTCTATCTCTTTCCTTCTCCCCCCTTCTTTTTCTCTGTATCTTATAGAGTATAGATGTGAATATCGTTCTCTCTGTTCATTTCTTTTATTCCCCTCTCCCTCTCTAAAGTTCTATCTATCTTACTCGTTTTCTACTTCATTTTCAGCAACACAATGACGATTCTAGAATTTGGGGTAAAAAAGAAAAATATGTACTAAAGCTAAGAAAGTGTTCAGATAACGATTGGTTCATTGAAGTTCATCACACAAACGGCAATAGCTTCAATCTCAGGGATGTCATTTCATAAAACAAAACATGTTCCATAGAGCAACACGTCTCTCTCTACCCTTTTAAGGTTTTGTAAGAGGATGAGCATGATGATAAACACAAAAGAGAGAAATATATATATGCTAAATGATGAATAATAAAGCAAAATATCATACTATGAAGCAATCATATTGAGTTTTGGTGCTCTTTAACACATTATAAGCGACATCTATTGAAAATGAAAGCATTCGGTAATTGCTTGTTCAACTGATCAGAGTACATTCAGTTTTTTTTTCTTTCTTTCTATGCCAACCAACTCACCGGATCCAAGGTTCATTCGATCTTGTCACTCTATCTATCTGCTCTCTTCTTCACTATTTCTATTTTCAATCCATTCATGAGCTTTCTAGTAATCAGCTCAAAATCATTGAAGAAGTGACGAAACTTCATTGGTCATGATTTAAAAGTTTAAATATTTCCATGTATTTCATGTGAAAATGGGGGGGGGGGGGGGAAGAGATGTAGAAGACTATGAGAAGATGATGAAGAAGCAAAAGGAAGAGGGGGAGGAGGAGAAGAAATGAGGAGGAGGTGGTGGTTGTAGAGAATCGTATGAAGATTAATCTTCTCTTTCTGATTTATTTTGAAGTCAGAAGCAGTTTACACTCAAACTCATTCCATAAATGCTTGTGAGCCAACAAAAAGTTTTTTGAACAAAAAAATTTGAAAATGGAACAAAGAGAGTAAAGAAGGAAGGGAGAGATAGAGAAGATAAGCGTTCAGCTTTTCCTTCCTCTCCAGCTGTAGTCGATTTGAAGGTTGTCATCATCAGATATTCTGACCAGTTTACTTACTTTACCACAATTTTCATATACTCTTCTCGTATCGAAGTAATAAGGGATTTATATGATTGAGTGTTAAAAAGAGAATAAAATAAAGAAGTATAGAAGGAAGAACGATTGAAAGAGAAAGAGAGAGAAAGAAGGAGAGAATGAAGAGAAGAAGAGTGTTTTCTCTTCTGTGTTCTCCTTTCATTTTATATGTCACATGAAAATTCTGCTGTTAGAAAGCATTAGGATTGAGGTTGCAAAAGTTCAAAAAAGGGTTAAAAGCATGTAATTATTGTGAGTTTCTCTCACTTACATCCATCAATAGCATGACAAGACAAACCTGTAATAAGTTTTTCCTCAATTGTTCATCAATTGGTCGACAATCAGACGATTCGGAGTTGGGCGATGTAGATGAGGTAGTTGATTGAGATACTGGTTCATTCAAACGTTCGCGATCTTTACGAAATTTTTTACGTTTTCCAGTCATTTTCTGTCGATCCATCATACGTTGTTCTGTTGATGGTGGTCGTAAAGAAGATTCAGAATTATCTTGAAACATCTGATATTGCATTGGATAATCATTTAACTGAAACAACTAATAAACAAATGAAAGCGTAATGAATGGAAGAAAAATGAGAAAAAAAATGAATGTTTTCTTTCGTTTTTTGTTTCGTCCATTTACAATGTAAAACGTCCCAGCCAATTATCAATTTCACACCCCGAGCTTTTTGCTTTTGAAAAAACACAAGCTGGCGATGCTTTTGGTTGTTGATAGTTGTAAGCAAAATACCTTACAAATATGGACGAACGAGAATATATTAAGCTCTTACCTGCTGTTGAGCTAAATCAGCTAATCTATTAGTGTCCGCGGCTGATAAGTCCGGTAGTAGAAGAACAAGACGAGCCAGATATGAGATAATCATGCTGAGATGTTTGAAATTACCAAAGTTTTGTGAATTTAAAAATGAATAGAGACTCAGTATTGAGATGGAGAGCATAAAAGAGATAGATAAATAGAGAGAAAGGAAGGGAGGGAATAAGGGTGAGTGAGAAAGAGGAAACTTCAATGGTGGAAAGAAACCGAAACTTTCTTTCACTTGCACAGAACAAAAAAATCTCAAATAAGGAAAAAAAGGAAAAGAGAGAGAAAAGCGAAATATACCAACTAGATGAGCTAAGGCTATATGAAGCTAGATTACCACACTATTACATAAAAAGGCCAAAGAAAAAAAATGTCAGTTTCAGGAGGGCCGCTTTCATCCGCTTCACTCATCTCTTTCTCTTTTTCTTTTTCCCTATTCTGCTCGAGGCCTTTTCATGCTCCGCCCACAGCTCCACCCATTTTGGCAGAAAGTTGGCCACCTCTAGTAGCTCTAACTCTTTATATTCTTGAACCTTCTGAATCTATCTCGTCATCATCAGTTTTGAATTCATCTTAGATCTGCTAAGACCATTACATTCAATAAAAAAAGGGAATATGAGAGGACAATAAAAGGGAAAAGAGTGTTGAATAGTGAGAGAGAAAGAGAAAGAATAGCAAGGCGAGAACATGTGCAAACTTTTTTTTCTTCAATCTTAAAAGGTTTTGACTTAAACGAAGGTTCAGATTTGTCTTGAGCACATGAATAGGAACGTTATTTTAGTCATAAATTAGCCAATTTTGGTTTCTTTTCATTCTGCAAAACTTGAAATGAGTATAGAGAGTGAGCAATCTGTTGTTGTTAGACTGTTAAGAAAGAGGAAAAAAAGGAATAAAAAACAAACAAATCTCTAAGTTAGTTCAGTTTCTTCTTAAAAACGAGAAGAAAAAAAAGGAAATTGGAACAAGATTGTTTCAAGACGAAAACGTGCTGTTTTCTATTTCAATTGTTTTTGAAACAGAAAGAGTGACAGTTAAAGAGAGAGAGGGAGGGAAAGCACGACAGAGACAGGTGTAGATAGATAGAAAGAGAATAAGGCAAGTTTCAATTTCTTTACTTCTTATGCTCTCATTCATCATTGAAGCAATAGAAGAAGATTAGAAGTTGAGAAAAACATGGATAAGGAAGAAGAAAATAAAAAAAGCTGTGCTCAATGAACTATTTCGCTTTTTTCTGCTTCTCTTCATCATCTTCTTATTCTTGTGTGCGTGTGCTTCTACCAACCAATTGCTCAGGAATTTTCGGTCTTCGGACGTCATAATCCATGGAGGTTGAGATGAAGAAAAAAAAAATTCATCTGAAAATTATCTTCTAGCCATACATTTTAGGAATATATTTTATGATGGACAAAACAATTTCATTCAGCACATGGCCACGGTCTTCACTCATTTGATAAACAATTCAGATGCTTTTTCTTGTGTTCTAATCCAAATAAGTTTTTCATAAGAAATGTAAATGAAAAACTTTTTTTTCTTTCTCTCTCTTTTTCTATTTTTTGCCAGAAGAGGTATGAAAAATTCGGACAAACGACAAATGGTCCTAAGCGGAAACTATTTAGTTGAAAGCAAGCTGACGAAATAAATGAGCACAAATCCCATAGTTAAAATAGTTTTTCTACGTACATCAAACAAGATAGAAACATGTTCTGAGAGAGAGGGAGAGAGAGAGAGAGAGAGAGAGAGAGAGAGAGAGAGAGAGAGAAAGAGAGAGAGAGAGAGAATGAAAAAAAAAGAGTTTGTGAGAGAGTGCAAGATGGAGACTTGGTAGCATGAAGAGAAGAGAACTTTTTGTAAGAAAATAAAGAAATACATACATGTATATGAATATGAGGTGCTCTCTCTCTTAACTGAATCACAAAAAAAAAGAAAATATTTGTGGCTATTCTCTTATTCAGTTAGTTGTCGCGTGTAAAAAGTAATAAGGCCAAATGAACTTATACGACTACATGAATTTACAAATAAATTCATGAGCAATATATATGTATATATATAGAGAGAGAAAGAGAAGGATAAAGAAGATGAGAAACAAGAGAATGAAATGTCTTTGTTCAATACAATACGAACAGTTAGCAAAGCAAGCCATGAACATTTATAATTTCATTAGTTTTGAAGAAAAAAACGATAAAAAATTGAATTAAAAACTTTCCACCAAGTTACGAAAATTGAATTTGTGCATTGAAATCAACGATTTACGCTTCTTTCATTCGACCGACAGCATTAAAACTTCTGCATAGCAGAAAAAAAATAAAATTACAGGCTGTAGAAACGTTGAAGTAGCAATGTGACTATCAGGGGATCTGATAAAACCTTGACTGTTCAGATACGCATCATCAATTATATGTGATTATGTGGTGGTAAAATGAAGCTCTTATCCTCAACGTATCCCATGTAAACATGAAGCTATCCGAATGAGTAGAGAATGTCGTGTTTCTTCCTAATCATTTTCACTCCCTGACTATCTTCACGGATTTGCTGTGCAGTGAAGTCAAAGAGATGTGTAAAAGTGTACAGAAGTTGACTTATGGCTCAACGCCCATTTTCATTTCGTACTGTACTTGGTATAGTAAACGGTTGTGCAAGCTACAATATAGTTTTGGCGCTGCTCACGTGACCACGTAGCTGAGTCGCAGTCGAAAGCGAACTTTCATTCCGGAGCTTGTTCAACACAGTGAGCGGCTGTGTTTCACATGAGGTTGTTTCTCAAAGCTCATGTACTAACGTCGACAAATAGAGCTAATGTGCTCAAAACTTTCATTTCATTTCCGCTTAAAAACAGTTAGCGGTAGTGTTTCACAGTTCATTCTATTTCAAATCTCATGGTGTTGGGAGAAAGAGAGCTCTTCATTGAACCATCAAATAGCTCTGATTAATGTGATATGTTTTCCAAAAGCAATTATATAAGATAAGTTTTATTTCACATTTCAAACTATGAGAATATCACACACACAAACTGATATAAACAAACATATCAAACATATATAAAGGATGTACAGTCAATGTTGAATACCATTAAGAACTTTACAGCTTCTGCAGTCAGTCACGAAAAATGGAACGAAACATCTTCATTGTTATAGTTGTGCTCTTTGTTATCGTTCAAGCATCAACAGTAATTTTTTAAACTCTTTTCAAAAAGTATTTTTTAAACTTTTGTTATTTTTTTTCTTTTCAGCTTAAACTTGCCAAGCAAACAGAGTCTCAAATGACGTATGATGCTCCGTTTTTGCTTCTTTGTTTTTGTAATTTTTCGTTTTTCCAGAGAGTTAGACGAGAAAATTCAAAAACCTCCTAATGTTGGTGAAGACAGCAAGGAGCAGGTCAAATTCAATATGCTCACAGAAAGAAGATTAGATAGAGCACGTCGATTCATTCCATCTCGCTACTCTGACAACCAACGATACTTCATACGACATTAAGATAGTTTCAATAAATATTGTTTTCTACTCATTTTTTTGTTTCTGTTCTCCAAACTTTCAGTTTTCAATATAATGAAAAATGTTTTTGAAACCCATTCAATTCTCTTGCAAAGGAAATTAGAAAATCCAAATTAGAATGTCAATCACGCCAACATCGGAAACACCTTCATCTTCCATTTTATGATGGCAATCCTTTTATAAAACTTGCCCGTGTCCTGAATCACAAAAAAAGTCTCTCTAGTTGACTGTTTTATTCATATAAGTCTCAAGAAAAAAAATCTGAAATCAAGGATGAATGGAATGAAACGAACATATGGCTGAGTCGTTTTATACGTTTCAATGATGCCCAGCATTGGCAGGCCATCCAATTCATTTTCTCGTGTGAAACATACAGTTGTGTTTGAGGAGTTAATTTAAGAAATTATGTAAAATTGTCGTGAACAATGAATAATATAAGAGTGAAAACAGGAAATAGAGATCAAAATGAGTATGACAAAAGCGAGAGAGATAGAGAGAGAGAGAGAGAGAGAGAGAGAGAGAGAGAGAGATGTAATGAATTAAAAGAAAAATTGAGAGAATTAGAGAGAAAGTAACACAAACGATGAGTGATGGCAGTTCATGCTGCTTCATTTCGTACAATTTAATGTTAATAAAATATTTTTTCTCATTTTATGTCTTTTTTTTAGAAGTCATCGCACGGAACAGCTGACAACAGACTTTTCCTTCGAGAACTGACCTAGTGACCTTTCATTCGAGAAGAAACACTAATAATAAGTGAAAAGCTGTTTTGGCGCATCTTTTCCATCCCTATCCGTGAAGGTACTCATTCGGTTTGTTGTAAGAAGATAAAAGATAAACTTTATTACTTCGATTTCTTTGGATTAGATCCTTCATTAGAAATTCACCGCTATCAGCGCTTTTATCGATAAACAAGTCCTATGCCATCCACTTTCTTCAAGTGAGAGGTCTGACTTCCTAAAAAACCTTGTGAACGGTATATTCTTTTTTTTTCAACTCGCCAAAAACCAAGAGCGTACGCAAAACGGCAAAAAGGCGTAGCTAGTATTGAGGGGAGGAGGTTCAGGGGAATAACGCACGAGAACCCCATTTTTCTAAAATGGTCACATTGCAACTATTTATTAAGCTTATTTCTTATTTGCAAAAGTTAGAGCAATCGACAGTTTCTACCACAAGTTTTGTTCGACCTTTCATCCATTTTTAAAAATTCTTGAAAATGTCGTGTTTTCAGTTAGTTAAGACATGTTTTTGTTTAAAATAATCATAAAAAAGAGCCAAAAAGGTTGAAATGTAGGATTTGTTAAAAGGTTCGTTAGTAGTCATTCTCATTTTTATATTCATTCTCAGCTAATTGATTATTGAATCCTTAAAAATATCATTTGCACATTGCCCGCTTCACCGAAAATTCATTGCCGACATCCGTTGTAATGGACAAATCGAGATTTATTATTCCAGATGCTACAATTAATTTTTTTTTCTTTTTCTCACATTCAAATTTTTTTCACTCTTATTGGGATATCCAATTGATTTCTGTGCAATATGCGTTCAAGACAGCACATTCTTTTTGGCTAATTATGCTAATTATGCTTTTAAGTTCGAGCTTTTGATGAGCTTCTCAGTTTTATAGTAACCTCCCCATTCCTTAAATATTCCTTTCGTCTCTGTTTCAGCGATCGTTCTTCTTCTTCTTCTTCTTCTTCTTCTTCTTCTTCTTCTCCCATCTTCTTGTCGTCTTCCCCTTCTGTCACTTTATTTTCTTTTCTTTCATTTTTGGCATTGTTTCTCATCTCCTTCCCGACATTTTATTCATTCAAACTACCTCATTCTGATACACTTCGCATCATTTCGTCATCTTCCCACCTCAACCCATCTTTCGTCATTTGTCTCTTGGTTTTTTCACTTCTTTTTTCTTTCTTTTTTTTTCTTTTTTCTTCTTCTCAACAACATGAGTTGTGTTTGTCAAGTTGATTATTGATTGATTTATATCTCAGCACTCTGGCAAGCATGATGATCTCCACATTTCCTCCTTTTTTCATTTTTATTTTCTCTTGTTTTGTTTCATTCTTTGTGATTCTTCTCAATATAGTCAAAGATGATAGTTTTAAAGCACTGAGTCTTGCATTCGTTCTTTCTCATTTCTAAATTTCTGTTAGTTCTACCGAAAGTTCATATTATATTCATGTAAATACAACAGAACGTTTTCAAAGTTAAAGAGATACAACCACAGAAAAAAAAACTTTCAACGAATAATAGAGCTTGAGGCAGTAAGTGAAAAGGGATGGCTATTAAAAGACTCATAAATAGAGAGAGTTGGAAAGAGAAGGGAAGTGTTGAGAATGAACACAAACTATAAGAGAGTGGAAAGCTTACAAATGTATTTATTCTTGATAATATCAGGATAATCGAAGTCCGAAAAAAAAAAGAGTGAATGAGCAATGTGTGTGTTAAAAGAAAGAAAAGCTTTCCCTTCTAATAGTTGTTAGAAACATTAATTTACATTCATTTTTCTTCTTTATAACATGCTATGTCAATGTATTTGTTAGACAAATATTTATTGAGAAACGTTTTCTATACAATGCATACGTGGTCGTTTTCAATTTCTCAACTTTCCTCAAACGTTTTTTTATTCTCTCTTCTCTTAGCCTGTCGTCGTTGTCGTCGTTCCTTTGCTCACATCAAATGAGTCATTAATAGTCTTTATAACCAACCAACTAATTTATTCAATTCGATATTAGCTAGACCAAAGCTCAGCTTCAAATGTATTTCATTTTTTTTGCTTCTTTTTTTCACAATTGGAGTAATTAGTCTCACATCGCAAATTTCAAAATGTTTACATTGATCAAGAACACAAAATGTAATTCATTGGCTTGCTCTTCTCTATCTCCACTCCACTCCTCTCTTCTCTCTCTCTCTCTCTCTCTCTCTCTCTCTCTCTCTCTCTCTTTCTCTCTCTCTCTTTCTTTTTTTTTTCAAATAAACTTTCTTATTCTTTTTCGTACATTCAAAAGCTTCTATAACAATAGCATTATCATTATCATCTATAACTAGTCAGCGTTGAGAGTTTTCTTTTAATTTTTTAAATTTCACGTTTTCCCGCATTTTCGCATAACACACGTCGTCAACGAATGCTCACATTTCATTTATTAATTTTTTGACTCGTTGAATGGTTGTTCTTCTTTCATTTTTCTTATTTTTTTCTCTCTTTTTCTCTTTTTTTTCACGACTCTTCTGAGCTAATGCTGATATCATATTACTCTGTAAAGTTGCTAGAATACCAATATATATAGATGTATGCATATTCTATATTTATATATATTCATAATAAAATATATGGAACAGATTTATTTTGCTTCTCATTGACTTATCAGTTGTTGCTCTACTTAGTTATTGATTTCACTTTTGTTTTCCATCCCATTTTCTCAGACATACCATTTGATTTATAATGAAAGTTTCGAATTTGTAAATCTTTGGAATTCTCTTATGGCTGACAGGAATACACTGTGGACACGTTGTAAAGATAGCTGTAGAACAACAATAATCTGCCGTAAACCTTTTTCTGCTGCGATTTTTTGAATAATCTGTTTAGTCGAATATCTAGTTAGAATATAGTTTTTGATTTGAAATACTACGGATTTTTATGTTTTTTTTTGAAAAGTAAAGCTTTGTGCTTCACAGGCTATCTGTCAGTTTTTCTCTTTATTTCATCTTCTGGTTCTCTCCTCCTCTTGAATAACCCAAATTTTATCTGCATATCAACTGTATGGCGGATTAAACATAATCAACTAGAGACTGCGTGCACTCGTCATAATCTCTTCGAATGTGTTTCTCTTTTCACAGTTGTTGAATGGAGTTAAGTGCTTGAAAAACCATACTCGCCAACTAATAGTATAGCCTCCATACCTCCCTATGAAAATCCGTGCATAGTACTCACCCACCTTAGCAATCCTGTTCTTTTTTTCCAATGTTAACACGGTCCACATATTAATGGACAACAGTTTTTTCAGCTAATCAAATATTCAACGATTGATCTGTTTGATATTTTGTTCTTCCCCCTCCTCCAGTTCTTCTTTAAAATGAGTTTTTGATACTTTCAGTTAGTTAGTTTCTCTTTGACGATGCAAAAGCAAAACACATTATAAGGTAAAAAGTTGACGTAAAGTTAGAGACATGAGGGAATAATGAATATTTCATATGATTTTTAAATCATTTCTGTCATCGTGTCCCCCTCCATCATCTATTTATTTAATGTCAATCTTACTCTCTCGTTGACAACTAGGAAGAGAATTTCGAAATGTTTCCATTTCCAACCACGTTCTCATTTAGGAACTACACCTCTCATCTTTCTAATCATTCACAGAAAAGCAATCGGAAGATATGATTAATCAGCGAACGGAAGTTCCATTCCTTATGAATGTTTTTGCAAAATTTTTACAACTTTTTTTTGCAATTCGCTTATATCAGTGGAATGGGCGTCCAAACGCTCTGAGGGGATGCTGCTCATTCCTATTTTCGAGCGGATTTTCATTTTGTTTTTTTTATTTCCCCAATTATTGATTATTAAAGAAATCTTCATTGGTTTGTCATCATCTTTGAATCTGCGAAAGTCATTTGTTAAGATTTTTTTTACTGGAATCTTTAGCTTTTTCCTAGTTCTCTCAAAATAACTCTGTTCGACCTTCTTTCTCTTTCTTTCTCTCTTATGCGTTCTCTCCCTGAGACTCATAGTCTTTATCTTTCGCTCTCTCTGTCTCACTCTTTTTTGCACTGAGTCCTCATTCATCCACTTCATCATGAGCTTTTAGCTTCATAGCACGAGGTAATTCTATGGCAGTACTCTCCAGAGCATTATGCCCTCCCCTAATTCAACGCCTCATTAGGCTATTTCTCTCATCATCTGGGTAAGCGAGCAATTCCTAGGCCAGCTTATGATATTGTCTTTTCTTGGTTCTCATTTCTTTCTTTCTTCCCCTTTAATCAACTTTTATCTTCTTGTCTGCTATTTGCCCATTGACGACCTTAATTCAATTTCTTTTCGTTCATTCACAAGCATCATTCTCTTCATCAGCATCATCATCATCATCATCATCATGCCATCAGCAATATCTCGACAATATCCGGAACTGCAGGGATTATCCAAACAATTATTTTCATAACCATGTGTTTTTCGTTTCTCTCTCAGTTTTTTCCTCATTTTCTTCATATAATAACATATTGATCTACATCTCCTTTTTATCAAAGTTTACAATTATCGCGCCTCTTCTACGTCCCCAACACACGTGTAAAAAACGTTTATCGATTTGCATCATTTTCATTTTATTTTCAGCTGTTAAACGGTTGTCTTTCGCTAATTTGTTTTCTTTACTCGTATATTTCTTCGTTTGATGCGCACTACTCTCGCAGTATTCTTTATGTTCCATCAAATGCCCGTTCTTCTGTTTCTTGAACGGTTTAAAATTTCCCTTCTAGTCTCGAATCTTGAGCTTGAACTTATTTACCGAAATTGGTTGCTTTATTAGCGTTTCGTGTCGCTTTTTTGTTGGAAACTTGCTAGTCTTAAAGTATTAACTCACGCAGGAATCAGGCATTTTGCCCTCCGCCTTTCATAGCGTTTCTCCTTAACATTCACTTGTCTTTCTTCCTCTTTTCTCTTCTCTTCTACTTTTATTCCAAGTTCGAATTCCGCTCTAGAAACAGTACAGTTTTCAATGAGATTCATCAGACAACTAGACAATTTGAACATCTGGTCTAAATACAGGCAGGACGAAAGCAGGCCAATCGTGTAAATACGTAGACAAGATCCAAATGAACCAGACGGTTAAAGACAAAAATAACTCTGCTCATAAAAAACTTTCATTCTCAATCTGCCACTCAGTTATTAGAATTATTTGTATTTTTTCTTGTTTCTTCGCAATTCTATGAGATCTACCGTCGTCGACTAATTTGATGAATAATTCTCTTCTGTTGCATCGTTGAATTAGATAAGAAACGGGAAGGAACGCTTTTCGATTATCGAGAGTTTCTCTTTTTAGCCATTTCATCATGGCTGAGATGTTTCTAACCTCTCTTCCATCCATATTATTGATATTTTACAATCTGTACAAACAATTTTTGTCTTTTTTTTTGTAGTTTTTTGCTCAACTCCAACCTTTTGACTTGTCCGTAACTCATTTTATTGGTTTTTTTGTCTACTAACAATTGCCTATTGTGATATCATTGGTGAAACTTTCTTGTTCCATCATCATCAACACTCTGCCCAAATATGGTGTGTCCTGTTTCGGAATCGTCAATTGATTTTCCATATCTTTTCAGTTCTTTCGTTCTCGAACTGAATGTTTCATTCGTTTATGGACGGAAATGCATAAAATAGCATTTTTTTGTCTTTTTATTTTTGTTCTCTCCATTCTCCTCTTAATCATGCCTCGTTCAATGAAGACCAAAAGCAAGTGATTCATCGCGTTTTGAAGATAGCGACATCAACTTTCTTTTGCGGAAACGAATGCGATTTTTGTCTTTTTATGGTCATTTTTTTCTTTTGCACATTTTTATTCAGTGTAATTTAAATGATGTACTTTTATTATTAAAATTGATGTATACATTGATACTGTTTGCTGAGATAGCTTTCTTATTTGCAATGTCATATCTGCCACCCACTCTACTCCAGAGCTTTCGCCGCTTTTTTCTTCCTTCTTATCATTTCCTTGCATTTTCTGCAATATATCATTCGTTCCTTGTTTTCAGAAGACGATATTATGACGGACTCTGTAATATCTAAATTTGAAATTCAATTGGACGCTGGGCCTGAGCCTATCTTCAAAGGTATTGGTTGTTTTTCATTAGTTTCTGCAAATGCACTAGTCGCGAATTAATTCTTCCACCTGTTCAGGAGGTGAAGTTATTACCGGTAAACTCCAAATTGAACTGAGTCGTCCAATCGTCATTAATGCCGTCAAGCTGCAGATGAAAGGAAGATCCGTCTGGCTAAATGATCCAATGAAAAAAGACGATATCGAGAAGGTTTTAACATTCTTTCTCAGTTTTTTTTAATATTATTATTTTTCTCAAGGTTCTGTTCGATAATGATATGACATTGTTGGAAAGGCCTCCAGGTAAATTGGAGCCCGGTCATTTCACTTGGATTGGTAATTTTACTTACAGTCTTCCATTTGAATGTCCTTTACCAAAGGTTTTTCATACTTTTTTTACTAGCTGATTGTCTGTTTCTCTCAGGGCTGCCCGACATCATACGAAGGACCATATGCTTACATTCGCTATTTCATTAGAGCTAGTTTAGTACACGAAGAAGATAATGGTCAAGTTGTAAGTTAATTTCTGCTTAATATTGAATAATCACGTGTTTAAGCATGAGTATTATGTGAAGCAAGCTTTCTCAATTGTATCTCCTTCTGATGGCTATTTAGTTATTGGAGAATCGCAATCTGTGAAAGATAGTGCTACCTTCGGTTCTTGCTGTTGCAAAGGGAAGGTGTGTTCAACACAAGTATCGGGAAATTAATTGATATTTTAAGTTGAATGCTGAATTGAACCTCCCGAAAACCGGATACTTACCGGGTGAAGCTGTCTACGGCAGTTTGAAAATAGGAAACAAATATCCAAAAGATATTCTCAATCATGTATGTTACGTCAGAAGAAATCTTGTAGCCATTGCTTCATGATTCAGATGGAAGTAAGACTTGTTGATCGTGTTCGTCGCATTGGAGCTGCCGAAATAGCTGCAGCTAGCCCGTGGCGCACATTGCTTTACAGAAGGTTATACTTTATCAATGACCAGAAATATTTCCTCTTTGCAGATTAGAAGAAGAGGAAAACACACCAAAGAACAGAAAGGAAGGAATCCAAAAGGAAAATCTCCAGCTCTTAACGATACCATCTGTTTGTCCCACAACAAAAGGTGAGAGACGCTTTGTTCGAGAATAAATGATCAAATTCTCTTTCGCTTCGTGCATACGATTGTCCTTATATAAGGCAAAAATGAGAAGAGTTAAAATGAGAGAGAGTTCAACATGACTTCTTCACAATTTCTCATTAATTTCTTTTTAGGAGACTTCGATAGTGTTACTAATGAAGTGCATCAGTTGATACCAAATGGTCGGTTACTTGAAAGCCCTTCTACTGCTACTCTACGCTTCCGTAAGCAACCTTTCTTGAAAATCGAATATGCCATTCAGGTGATAAATGCATGATCTTTATTATAAAACTGAACAATTTAGCTTACGCTTGGAGTCTTTTTACTTCTGGAAGTTCCAATAGATATCGGGGAGCATTCAACAAAGGATCACGACATCAAACTCCAAGTATTTTTTGAGTTTTTTTCATGAATCAGCATTCTTCTTAGCATTTTGTTGCCGGAGCTCAAACTGTCGAAGAAAGAGACGAAAGTGGGAAGATTGCTATAAATGGTCCATTCACATACACTCCTGTTTATCCCTATAAGGACAATGTAACAAGCAGTGTTCCAGAACCTCAAAGTGAGCTTGTTCTCCTGAACTCGTTTCCCCAAAGTTTCATGATTTCAGCTTATTCACCAGCAGTTCCTACTATTCAAGAGGAACAAACTATAATGAACGCCAGTCACTCGGTTGTGGAACGAGAAATTCAAAATGACTCGCCCAGTGAGGATGGAGTGAGAATATTTCTCTGGAACTCAAGATTTAAAATCATTCTCTTCAGAAGACGCTAGTACGTACAGTCAAAACCGTTGTAACTCATGTTGATGGGAATGAAACGAAAACAATGGAGGAAACTGTTGTCGAACAAGATGGAAGTTTTACTCGCACGATTGAGGAAACAGTATTGAGTGCTGATGGAATTGAAAAGCACAGAATAGAAGAAGTGTTTTTTTATTTCTTTTTCTTTTTTTCATTTCTTATTCTCGAGATTTCAATCGACAACGAAGGTCATCAAGACACTAAAATCGAAGAAGTAGAAAACGTTGTTCCTGAGGAGGAAATTGAGCAAAGAAAGAAAGAAATCATTGAAGAAACAGTTGAGGTTTGCGAACTTGTTTCTCATTTCCATGACCTCAATCGTTTTTTGCAGCTACCTGAACATCAAGAGGCTTCCGCTGTAATTACCAGCTCAGAAGGGGATCAAGTGACCGTCTATTCAGAGGTATGGTTAGGTGGATCAGCGAGACTCACAAGATATCCGTTATAGGAAACTGAGGATGGGGGCGCTCACACAATTAAAACTACTACAGTGACGAAGCATTCAGACGGATCTGAATCAACAATCATTCAAGAGCATACAACCATTGAAGGAGATGGAGATGATTAAACTTCACATGAAGCTCAAAGCTTATAAAACCGGTGTCGATACAAATATTTAATTGTAAAACTCATACAGCCTCACTGACCCATCATGCTTCTTTTTAACTTCTCACACACATGGCAAAGGATGATTCCCTGCTTCGCTTGATCATATTAATGTTTATAAGTTTGTATTTAAGCTGCATAATGCTCTTATATAGTTTGTATTCTTTCATATCTTAGAATTTAACGTCTCCATGTACTATGCGGAAAAAAAAACATAATTGTCCTGTGAATCTCCCATTACTAGTCTGCGTTTAATTGCAAAAAGGGGATTTAATTTTATTAACCTATTTCGAATAAAATCAGTAAAGTCAGCTTTACTCTAGTAGATTTTTAAATACTGTTTTCCTCGAAAATCCTAAAAATAACATTAAAACAACAACAATGATGAGCAAGCGTATTAAATATATCTCTGTATTTTTCTATGAGTATGTACAATCTCCTTTTCCTACACAACTTCCAAGTAAGTAGTATCCTGATCCATACTATTTTGGGAAGAAATCGGTATTCGCCCAGGCTTATAACACTGCAACAAATATATGTCTCATGCACTTACAGTTGATCTGAACACTTACAGGGTATATAGGCTTTATCTGTTGATAATCCGATCCTCCCATCGTACCGCATGCATCACCGCAATCTCCAGGAAGGTACTGCAGATGCGGTCGGAAACCCAAAGGACGGTCTCTGAAAGTGAAAATTGTATTTAGTTAAGAAAGAATGGAGAACCGAGACATCACTTCTTCAGCCGAAACCAGAGAAGAACGATCTCTGTGTAGCTGCCGACATTTGCCATACCCGGACGATTCGAATGTAACTGAAAATATGACCGTTAGTTGACTATAAGATATCACAAAGTACTATTTCCACTGTCCCTGAACGGAGACGACACTTCGCTGTCATAAGGAGCCATTTTATTATTCATAATAGTAATTCCATTTAACTTGGAAGGAACGTTTGTATTCGAACGGATATGCACAAGAGGATTCTAAAAAACAATAAAAACATCAGTACTCTTGGATACCTTCAGCATTTCCAGAACACTTTCGCTGGGCGAAGATACATCCTTATGAACGGGGTAATATTCAGAGGGACTATCACATAAATAACGGACAGCAATATAGTGTAGAATTATCTAAAAGGTTCAAGTCCCATGTTTAATAACTTATCAGTAGACGTACCTCTCCCGCTAAAGCTATCACTAAGAGAGCGGCAAATATGAGAGCTCGTACAGCAATCCAATAAGATGGAGTTTTCCACAATCTCAGTCTCCATTCCAGAGACATAACAATACCATAAAAGCAGAAAAACATCACGAATGCCTGCATAATACAAATAAGGAAAGTATATTATCATCAGAGTACTTCAAATAAAACACTGGGGGTTACCAATAAATAACTCAGGCATTGATTTCTCAATGGCGAGCCATGTCTCCCACACTCCTGCCAGTATAAAAGAGTAAGAAGGAAAAGGCAGCTGTAAGATGCACGTAATGTTTATATCATACTAGTTAGATTGCCTCAAAACTCCGATGAAGAGGAATGCAAGACAAACGTAATCGTTGTCTACAAGCAGGAATCGAGGTAACAGTCCTGTTATATGATGTAGCCACATGCAAACGCTACGACTGAAAAGATGACTTGATTGAAGATGAAAAAGCAAAACACGAACGTGCACGTCGTTGTTTTCCATTCGGAATTCGGGCTGCTCGTGAGGACCAAACAGTTCATCTCTAATTGTACGTGATCAAGTTGAATCATTCGGAGAAGATAAAAAAGTAAAATAACGTTTTTTATTAAAATGTACCACTGCAATTAAATATTTTAACCTTATTATCTATGCCCCTCACCTTGATGTGAAAATACCCGTTGAACAACGAATACTTCTGATATCTCAGCTTGCCACACTGGATGCTGCTCGAGATGGGCTGACTCAACACTTGAGAAAGTGTTGAATACTGCTCAACCCTTTCTGAACACCCAGTCATTGTCGGATTAAAACCCTTTCTGAAAAGTGAATGCATATTCATATGAAATAAAGATCAGAAAAGATAATCATTACGAGAAGACCAAACTTAACACATCAAAATACCAAAAAAAAAGAAAAAACTTTTTTCAAAAGTTTCAAAAACAAATACGTAACAGTTAACAACGTCATGCAGTTCACAAGCGATATGATTATTAATCTTAATTAAGAAACTAAATAGGACATCCTCATAATCTGCTTGAATCGCTGCCCAGTGAATTCTCCTGACTCTCCCCTTCCTCCAAAACAGTAGCCAAAGGACGCCTGATAGAGGCTCTATGGGAAGCAAAATCAGTTCGTCGAAACTCTTCATCAATATCAATAGCACTAGAAACAGTAAGAAAAATTAAAAAATTGTCACAAATCCAGAAAGCCTCACCAAAACTCCGTACTGGTATTGGCGTTGTCCGTGTCCACAGAAGATGAAGAAACCTGAGAGTCGTTCAGATCTACGTGAGCTTACGAGTTTTTTTTAAATTTCCGAACTATTACCGTTTTGCCTACTTTTATAAGAGCGGAGTGTCGGCCTATCAGTACTCTTCGTACTTCTCCAACTATTATTATTTGCTTTTGTAACTGAAATCACAGAATTATCGGCAAATGGCACTCTGGTCGTACAGCTTTTATTCTGAAGAACAGCCGTGCTCCCTAACCGTCCCCACAGGGAGTTTTTGTCTGAAATCGCAAAGATTAGAGAGAGACTCGTTTACATTTCTTACCTCGGAAAGACCAACTGAAAGATGCTGCTGCTGTTTCTCTTCGTACCCATGACCCTCTTGCTCTTCTCCAAACGTAGACGAACCCAAGCACACATCCATATATGATGTATCCATAAATTATCCAAACAATGAACAATGGCAACACCACATAAATGGTGATGTCTGCAGAAAACCTTTAGTGAACTTATTGAAGTTCTGCATTTACCGACATAAAAACCCATATCTGTACAAGTATCTACAGGGTTTTGTAGGAAACAGTTATGTGAGACGTAATTGCGGACAGCTCTAACGGTGTGAACGAAGAGAGGACAGGCAAAAGATAACTGAAAACAGCGAATCTTACGAGATGAAAATATTTGAACTCACAATACTCAAAAGACAAGGAATCAAGAAAACGCCTGGATTCAAGAAACGATAAAGCCCTTGAGGACAATTCCACCAGAGCTTATCAACTATCCTCAAGCCAACTGCAGTTAAGAAAATACTGAAAACTACCTATAAGAGAATAACATAGAAACAAGCCTCAGAATGTAGAAGTATGACATAAAAGCTATAACTTTTCTTCGGAATAAACACTCAGGAGATTGACAATCCACATGTGCTTTTGAACTGAAACATTTTCCGCTATGGTAGACAGTTCATAGAAAAACTTACAAAAGCTCTGAATCATCAACTGTTATAGTGTGAGCAGAAGCCCCCCAAGACCCTAAAAATTTTTTTAACAACTAATAGATGGTAACGAACCGAAAAGATGTTTCTCCCCATCAAAGCCGGGAACGGGCAAGCCAGTGAAGTGCGGGTCTGAGACATAATAGAAACCTACAAAACTAGCAAAAAGTAGTAATAATTGCATAAACAGAAGCAGACGCTGAATTAAAATTATTGAAAAGTCCAATTTTTAGGTCAAACCTTAGCATGGATTTGTCCGAAAAACCAAACGTAAAAATCTGTTCTCGGTCGCAATCTCCCACTAGTTTCGTGATTTCTGACCATTCGGGTGCACGTTGACAGAGAGCATTGAGAATCCGTCAAAGTTGACTTCATCAGCTGAAAATATTATTTATCAACCCAGCTTCGAAATATAATTACAAAATTTGCATTGCAGAGTGCAAAAAAACAGTTCAAATTAATAAAGGTCTAAAATAAAGGTATTAGAAATTAGTTGAGTTAATGGTGCAAATTGCAATGAAGAGTGTAGTTTCGCCAATTAGAATATTTAGAACCGTTTATGTTAATGATATTCACTTTGATTCTTGTTCAATTATTCTGATATATGACGAGGTGTATGTAAACACTAGTTAACTTCAACTATCTGAGCACGCTGAGATCCGCATTTAGTTGACTAGAACCGAACCCGACCCAAAGCAACCATTTGTTAACTTGTCTTACTTCGAAATGAATGGACTTCCATTACGAAATACTCCTCCACGTAGTAAATGCTGTTTCACGTGATCGTCGATTACGCAATTCATGCAAATTTCTTTTTTTCACTATCTAGTTGGAATCAATAAGTGGACAAACTATAAACTTTATTTTACAAAATAAACGTAAGTTTCCACTTTAGTTTCAAAAATAAGATTTATTCTCAGTTTCGAGGAAAATTAAGTTATGTTTTACCCGTATATATTAACAACAATGAATTAAGTTCATAGATACGTGAATGCAGTGTTAAATAATGGCAAATTGTTTATATATTAAGTCCCGAATTTTGTAGTACTGGACACTTGCAACTCCTTCCACATGGAATTTTCCTGCTTCGTTTTTTCTTATCGAAGCGATACCTAAATTTCTTTTTAAAAACTCATGTACATCTCAAGTTTATACCATCAATGTGTAGAACACCAGAAGAAAACTCAGCTTGATAACCTTGTGACATCAGCATTTGCTTCATGTCAGATAACTTTGGATCATTCACAAAGACGGCCTGTAATGATTATTCAAAATTATAAACTGGAAAATTGCGCCAAAACCTGATGACAAGGGATACCGGAGATCGGTAAGATGTCTAGATATATTGAGTCTTGTCTTCGCTTTTGGGCTAGACGTCTACCTTCAGCGTTCTCGTCATTCGGATCGAGCTTAAGTTAGAGTTAAAAGAATTCCGTCATAGGTTGTTACCTCCATGTTCTCATCTTTATTATCTTCTTCGAGGGATAAATGATTTTTTCGAATAATTTTCGCATCTATCCAAGATAAATCAGCTTCACGCACTGTTTGGAAGAACAGCTGATTCATCAACGCATCACTGAGAGAAACTTGGAAGATATGTGACTCAACAGTGGCATCTACGATTTCTCCTAATCTCGGGGTGAATATTTTACCCTGGAAAAGATAGATATCTCAATTAAGCAGTAGAGTTCAAACTTGAACAATATCGTTATCATGGGCATACTGAGCAAGAGTTCTCGTGTCCTCATTTGAACCATGTACTAAGTGAGAATTGAAAATTCGAAAATTCGAACAATAAACATTTATACCTATTATTAGTTGTTTCGGTCGAATTTGTGCTAATATTTTCTTGACAGACTGACTGTCCGAACGACCTTCGAAGTCAATGAATGCTATGTTGCACAAGACCTGAGCAGATACTTAGGTCTCTACTAATAAGAGAAAACCTACTTCGACTTTTTGATTGTAACGAACACATTTTGTGGGCCAATCTTCGGTAGGAGCTGGAGCTACGGCAGTTTCTTCCGTTTGTCCCAAAGGTTTCTCTTCAGCATTGCTTCCGTCTGTCTGTTATTTATTAATCATTTATCATACAAAGACTTATGCTTGATACTTGAGGAACAATACTGTCTGCTGTCATGTACTCTTCGGGTCGAATGATTTCTCCATAGTCATCCCACTGAAACGTTTGTTTTGCTTCCCACTGTACCGGAATAACTCACTTTGACTTTTTCTTCTATATATGGATACATTGGATAACTTTTTTTACTTTGTTTGAAAAAAGCTGCTCTGTAAACAATGAATTTTGCTAGGTAATTCGACAACGACTAACTTTTGCTGGTGCTCCCATTTGAGCAAAATATCGTGTGAGTTATCAAATGGAGTCGTAGCTGGAACAACTTGTGCTGGAGTTTGAGGGGCTAAGGACTGAGATGATTGCCGTCTATTGACAACTGGAACGTGAAAATTTCAATTTGGTTCAGAAGGACCGAGACTACCTTTCGAAGGGGATGTGAAGGGTAAGGAGATTTGTTTAATTCCAGTGACTGCAGCTACCGAGTTAGCTAAAGCTTCTTCATCATCACTGTCTTCATCATCGTCTTGAGACATTCCCAATCGAGCATTTCGTCGACTAGCTTCCAATCTGAGGTATCATCAATAGAAGAAGTTCAAGTGATAACTGACCTTTGCCGTGCTGCCTCTTGTTCTCTCTCTATCTTCATTTTACGGTACATTTCCAACTCGGTCCCTTCCAAGCGGATCCGCTTTTTAATCTGATAAAATGAATTATTGTGTGCTACCGTAAAATTCTCACCTCTAGTTGGATATGTCTGTTAGAATCATTTGTTGTCGCCATTTTAATAAGACGGGAACCAAGAGTTTTTGAGCCAGAGCGAGCTGAAATAAAAAGTGGCTTTCGAAACAACACTGATTTGCAACTTACAAGTCACGATAATTGTGTTACGTGTATCAGAACTCCACTCTAAGAATAATTCTCGAGAAAAGCCGGATTCCATATCGGGCCCACTGCACAATACGACCTAAAAAGTTAAGGAATGGTGACAAGATTCTAAAAGGAGTTCGAACCTTCGGTGACCGAACTCGTGTCAATTCCACATGAGAACAACACAATTGTAAGTTACGAAAAGAAAATGGATTGAACTGTCCAGTTTCAAAGGATCTAAATTATTCTTCGTTTTTGTAGTTCAACTCAAGAGCCAACTTTAAAATTTTATCAGACATCCATTCAACTTGAGATCTGGCAAAATCAACAACAGTAGAAGCTACATGGTTTAACATAACGAGATTAAAATGAGAGAGGCCAGCGTCCGAGCTGAAAACAATAACTTATACAGGGCTACATAAGATTCAACTGACTTTGACCAGAGCTGATCTAACAAATGAGCAATTTCTAAAACTCTTCCAGCGGTATCTATTACAATCAAGCAATCACCTCCATTTTTGACAGTTCTGAAAAGTTTCTCAGTGTTTACATGTATAGTTTATCATACGTGAGCATTTTCGTTACGAGCTCTTCATCGCGATCTCGTCTTCGAGGTTGATTGTACTGAGCATTAAACGCATCTGTGATGAACAAATGTGGACGGGAAATCGCTAAAAAAATTGCTTTGCTTCTCTCAGTGCTGGATAGTCTTACAATCAAACGTGCAACCATTCAAGTGTCTCTCTTTCTTGTGATTGAAATCAACAGCATAAACAATTTCTTCGTCACCCTTCAATCACGCTTGGGCTATTTAATGAAAGCACTGCTATCCTAACCTGCTTACTAATTTTCCAAATGGCTCCTCCGATCATGTGTCCGGCCGGCAAAGGAGTGAATTGAATCCCATTATCTCCTTTTAGTAAAATCTTGAAACAGAAAGAGATAAGAACTTATTCAAGACATATATACCGTCTGATTGTATTTAACCTGTTGAACGTTTTTGAAAGCATTATCAACATCATCCAAAGAGAAAAGCTCAAACTCTTCGACATTCATGTGACCATAAACCCAATCGTACATGAACATTTGGCCCATTTTGAAGACAGGAACTGTTGCATAAACTGGAGCATTCAGCCCACACTTCGCAACTAAGTACGGTAATGCTCCTATGTGACTTGTATCCGCATAAGATAGTAAAACAGCGGATATCTGAAAAGAGAGAATAGAAAACAGTATGGGGTTTAGTAAACCAGAGGAATGCGGGATTTAACTGCTTCAATGTAAGTGAGATCAAAACTCTCATCCCAGCCACAATCCAAAAGAATGTACGACTCATCAACCTGTCATAAGTTCCAAATGTAAATAGCAGAGCTGTTGAATGGAGATTTACCTGCAGAAGATAGCAAAGGGGGCCATCATCACGCACCCCCGATAAAGTTTCTAACTTGACAATAGAGGTCATAAGGCCTAAAATACTTTGTGTAAGGCAGTGAGAATAAGGTGTTGATATATATAGATGCGAGTCTGGTCTTGGACCTTATAAGAACATATGCATTTTTTAAGTATTATTATCAATTCATTTTGTCATTTACAATGCAGCATACAGTGCGGATTGGAGATCTATTCATACAAACAATACAATTGCATAAGAGAACATGAAGAAATATTCGGTTTAATAACCAAAAAGCACGGCTTGTCATAATCTCAAATTAATCATAGCAATTAAATAATACAATTTAACAAACACTTCTGGCAGTTGATCGTCGTCTAGCGAGTTTTTACTAAGGCACTGATGATGATTTTCTTCTTCTTTGTTAATCCAGCTGATGCTCGCCATTGCTAAGTTGTTGCTCGTCGATCACTTCCTCGTGAACTCCTTGTTCTATAAATTATTCTATGCAATCAAAAACTATGTTACTTACCATCTTCAGCAGACACAAAACTCTCCTGTTCCATTCGTAAAAACGTCTGCGGATCAACTTCTTGTTCTATGATCTCTTCGGTTACTTCCCCATTATCATTTTCTCTGACATATCGATCCTGAATTAAGAAATTATGAAAACAACGCCTTTGATATAATACCGTTATCACCCAGTTACCGTTTGAAGACTGAACGACAGTACGATTCCTAACCTGCAAATGTATGATTAGAAACATTCAATGAAAGCCAAAAAACCCCGGATTGGAGTCCATCTTGTTCTTTTGTTTCGCCTTCACTTATTTCTGGCATTAAAAGTTGAGCTTGCCAGTTCCTAACTGAAGATGAAAGTTCGGATTGAAGTCTTTCAACCTGTGTTTCCAGTTGTTTAATCCTTTAATAATGGAAACTAATTGTTTCGGTAATTAACTGATAATACCTATTGTCTTTAAACTCGATGAGACCTGAATACAGGCCATTGAGCTTCCTATTATCATCTTGTAGGCTTGTTATTTGAGACTTAAAAACATAATACATAATTACGTTAGTTATCTTCACAAACTAACATTAAGTTGCTCTATGAGCCTATTAAATTCACCCAAAGATTGACCAGAAACAAGCCTATCTCCAAGTTTGACTGCTTGATTGATTATTTGTTCAGCCTGATGAAGTTTACTTGTATCTATTTCATCTGTCTTCAACGTACTTGTTTTTCTATCGGTAATTGAGATGCTCTCTGCCTACCGCCGGAAGGTTGACCTAGAGTTCTGATTCCACTAACAATTGGACGAGATGGACCACCACCATTTCTCCTAGAGTTCGGCCTGAGAAGAATAGATATGTTATCACTTTTTCTAGAATCATTCTCACAACAACGTAACAACTTTCAAAGGTTTGTTTTCTTTTGGAGGCCCTCCAGTGAGTGATGGCAATCTTTGAGATGCAATGTGAGCTGCCTGACCAACAGGAGGAGGCATACGCATATGTCCGGGTTGTGCTAAACGTGGTGGAGCACCTTACTCACGAATATTAAAAAATTAGTGACAAGAGTGTCAACACCTGCCATAGTAGATCCTCCTCTACCAACCATATGAGATCGCGAAACTCCTCTTGAATTTAAACTACTAGCACCCTGATGCCTATCGTCTTCGTAATCAACTTCCTACAAAAACAATTTGTATATTAGCTGTTGTCTTAAAAAATACATGCGAGTCCATATTTCTCTGCTGTACTTTGGATAAAAATTCAGGCGGAGGAACGCCAGGTGGAAATTTTCTAGGACGTCCCCGTTTTCTCGGTCCTGTAAAACAAGGATGTAAAAAACGGACTGATAAATTACAACCTTCAGGTGGTGGTCTTCGATACTGTTGTTGTTGTACAAAATGATCATCCATTTCTTCATCCATATCATCTTCATTCTTTAATTTTCATAGATAGAATTTACACATATTGCATTGCTAGCACCTGCAGATCGTTATATACTCTCTTTCCGGGTATCAATGTATGCCATGATCTATTATTAACTGATGCTGCTCTTTGCGTTCTCAACAGCTCGCCGTCATGTATATCCCTATATACGGTAAAGTAATTTAGAAGAACTCAAAACAGTTATACTTAGTCTCTGTCACGATTTCCTCCTGCACATCGTGTTGTAACGTCTCTGTCTCAATGGACATATCTTCTGACGGTACTGAGCCCACTTCGTCGGGACGAAAATAACGACGACGCCTCAAAGACAGCTAAAACTATAGTTAAGAACAGTAAATGACAGAAAGGAGATATCGAAGGTTATCAAACCGCTAGAGTACACAAGAATTAGCAAGAATCATTTTAACATTATTTATGATGTGAATAATAAAATCAAAGTTGCGAGAAAACACTTGAAAGCACCGAATCTTCGTGATTTAAACCGCCGGGTTAATCCCGACGGTCCTGAAACTATACCTGTACATTAACATCTACTTGAGGTGGCTGTAATACGAACATTATGATTGTATTGGACGTTGGGAAACATACTTCAGTCCTCAATCCAGTTGAGAATGTTTCTAGTCTCAGGCTCATTGGAATCTGCGACTGCTTCTGCATATTCTCTTAAAATAATCATTTGCTAGCTCTGTTGGCACGTTTTCGAAACAAACTCTTGAAAAGGATTGGTCGAAGAATATCCGTAATCCTCAAAATTTCTTATAACATGTTTCTGATAAGAATGAACATATTCACACTAAACAAAAACCATAATCAGTCACCAAATTATAATTAGTCGACTATGATGGCAGAGGCTCGGAGAGAAGATTAGATCAACATCTCGTGAGTGCGTATGCCCCAAACGGTCGGGGCGCACGTGTACCACCCATCAAACGTCAACGTATCGTCATTGCCAGGACTCGAACCATTAACTGTTTCGTCACACTAGCCATCATTGTCTACTACACTACCCACCCATACTCCCAAACATTTGAAACTCACGTCATCTCCTTTAAAACAACATCCTCTCCCGAAATCGCCACAATAGGCTGTTCGGAAAAAATGTTTTGCGTGTAGCAACTTGCAATTCGGCCACGACGAACAGTCTTCTCTCAAATAGAATGTGCAAACTGGGTATTGGTGTGGTAGAAGTGTATGAGAGGCCGAGCATGCCTTGTTATCTGGCCTGCAGAGGCCTCTGAGGAGTCTGAAAGGACATTAATATGAACCTGAAAACATATAGAAGCAAACCTTGAACAACAATGTTTGGGCTGACCAGGATGATCAAACCGACAAAATATTCCAGAAGTACATTTCCCTTCAATATTGGCATAACACTCTCGTGAACCACCGGGAATACGCTGTCCCTTTATTATTCTCAATGAGTACGATGCTTTACTTGGATACAGGTTCTGGAATTGACCGAGGATCATGAGAAGATTATATTTCACTGAGCGTTTTTCATTTCCTAACTCGAGTTATAGGGATAAAATAAACCACATACCTCATTTTTAGCGCTCTCCAATGACTTCAACTCAGCTGACTTTTCTGGAACAAGTCAAAAGTGAAAATCATGTTCCAACTCAATATTACCTAGAGCAGCATCAGAAGGTGAAGCTTGGCAAGATTCAACCCGACTGATTGGTTCAATATCCATATCGAACGAGGTGGCACGAGTATCTGAACTGTCATCTATGATAACTGTTCCAGAATCACTTTGAATATTCGTTAAATCTATTGTTGAATAAGTATCACAGTTTAAAGCATCATCTGTTTCCTAAAAGAATCCAACTTATAGCGTTCCAATAAAGTATTCAAACCTCTATCTTGATAGGAATAGGTTTTACTAAAGTTTGTTCATACCATTGAACTTCTGAATAATATGATTACACAGTTAACTGTACTTTATGGTAGAACAAACCATCTTTAACATCTCTCTGTTCATCTAATACAGACGAAGAACCAATTTTACTACCTGCTTCGGTTTTCTTTTTTGATTGCGGACTCACAGATTCATTCGATTCGTTTAGTACAACATTTACTTTTCGTTTTTTCTTAAACCATTTGTAAGATGAAGAAAATCTTTAACGAGAACTTACTCCATTGGCTAGTGGGACCCAATCCGTTAATGACCTAACACTCTCTGAAATAAATAGTTTAGAAACGACAGTTTCAATGTTGCTTACGCTTTGAGCTATCCACCACTAAAATATCATTAGATTGGGGTTCCGTCTCGCATTCTTCAGAAGCTTAAAAGAAGAATAAGAGCTTATATGATCTAAGAGCATAACTAACCGTTTACCACTTTAGGAACTTTTATTAATTTATTACTTGTATTAACTATAACTCTTCTAGGATCATCCCCTACTATTGGAGCTTTTACACTATTTGGAGAAGGCTTCACTGGGAAAGTACGAGTGGGGTCATTGAGTTTATCAGGATAAGCAGTTAGCTCTTGCATACACTGTAAGAAAACAGAAGATAGGCATCCGGAACCAAAATAATACTTACCTCTTTCATGTCACCGGAAAGTAAATTCAGTTGGTTAAGTAGTAATTGTAATTTCTCATCGAGATCGAATTGTTCAGCAGTCATCGCAAAGGCAACAGCTCTTCTCATCTTAAATTGAGTACTTTCATAAATCTAGAAAGTTAACAAACCTCGTCATGAGTTTCATCAGGAAATAGAGGAGGCCCGCTGCCTTGAAACGTTGGTGTATACGATCTCTCTACGGATCTGAAATTAAAGCAAGTAAGTAATAGTAATTACCTATGAAGCTACAAATCATCTTGTTCAGGATTCGTCACAGACACAACCTGACGATATGGGCGCATCGGAAGGTTCTGATAATCATGAGGAAAATTCCACCGCCCTTGATCTTGCTCAATCTAGAGGAAATTATAGAAAAACTAACTAAAGTACTTACGGGATAAGGCGCTTGTTCTTGTGCAAAAGGACTATTACTTCTAAAAGGGTCTCTCAGTAAGTTGCTGGGATGTTGTGGAAAATAGATAGGTGGATTATTCATGTCATACCTTCAATAAAAGGGTAAATTGTTTTATTTATGGTTTCGATAATTACCCTGGATATACTCCTGTATTGAAGTAAGGAATCGGAGGATAGTTTCCATTCCCATAATCCATACGACAAACTACAATTTTTTTTAATCGAGCTTTCAGGAAATTAGTTGTTCTAAGGTATCATAATGAAATTAACATTCAAGAGAATTATTCAAATTGAAAAAAATTTTATATTATCAACAAACACCCGTTTTCTCAAAAAAGCCATTTACAAATGTGATTTGGGCTATTTTTCTAGGCTCTGTAATACCAGACCTAACACCTTTAACTTCTTCCCAGCTGCAAGGAAGAAGTCTCTCGTCATCGGAAGATACACTCGAAACCTGAAGTTTTCTACTTTATGAACTATTGACAGCGACTTTACCACTCCAAGTTGATCTTCAGCTGTTGTTAAAATAAATGAAGAAATACTATCTCCAAAACCTAAAACTCTAGCCAATATAATGTCACCTGGTTGGAAACATTTAGCTATTTCTGTCTGGAAAAGGTAAGAGAGGAATTTCAAAAAATTAAGACAACACACCTGATCTCTATCATGCTGTCTGATATCCTCTTTTCGTAAAAGAGCTGTGTATTCTGTAGTCAATGGAGTGTCTTCGACAGATAATAACTCGCATTTAGCGAACCCAAAACATATAAGTAAAACAAAACAAAAAAATGAATAATATTACCTTTGTCCAATGTTAATAACACGTGCAGTAACGATCCCATCAATGTAAGGTATAACATGGTCTTTCTGTTCTCTATTCCTTCGAACTTCTACTACTTCAATTGTCTTATCACCCTTAAACGCATAAAGAATTCTAATATTCGCATTTTTCTTACTTCAACTTCTGTTTTAACAAACACATATCCAGAAAGAGATGCATATATTCTCCCGTGTAACTCATACGTTCCTTGCCCAGGGCGCAAATTTTCTTTCGAAACAAAAATACTTTCCCCCGGAATCACTTTTTTATCTGGATTCTCCATAACTGAAACACGTAAATTACCATTCATCGTTAAACTAAATCATTCAATTCATAAATACCATTATTCTATGTAAAAAAAACAATAATTCAAATGAACAGCATTCTAATTAATCCACAGTATTGCGTATCCGCTCAGGACCAGCGAGCGTTATGCCGCAAAATTTTTCTCTGCCTCTCTCCTACCTAAACACAGTGTTTGCGATAGTTTCTTTGTATACAGAAGCAGGTACTGTTGGCATACACTTAATATTTAGCTGTTAAAGTGAATAGTGTAGGAATGCATTGAAACCCTATTGTTATTTCTATTTTTCATCGCAGTGATCTCAATGTTTTACATGGACGTCAATAAACGTTAAATATGCAATGGGTTACAAACCTTGCAAACCTAACAATGAAAAGAAGAGAAAGCAGTTCACGTAAAGCACATGGATAACTGTATTGTATACCAATACCAATTACTGTATCCAGTAATCAATTCCTATGCGATATGGTACTCCGACACATTCACACAATAAAGATTACTGACATTTCGAATTCTGTTAGTTTTCTGGCTTACACGTATAAGTTTTAATCGCTTAGCTGACCATTTCAGCTCTGTATGCTTACAAAACGGGATGGGTTATGTGATTGCTCCTTGAACTATGATTACAAATATGAAATATTAGAAACAATGATTGAGAGTTTTCTCAGTACGTCCGGAAGTGTGTGGAGATTCCAGTCATAACTCTAGCTCAAGACGTTCTTACGTGATTATCAAGTGATGATATCAGATTGAGTAATAACCATTCCAAACGACTTACAAGAGACAGAAGTGATAGGTGACAGAAATGCTTTAGCACCTAACCTGTCACATCAAAGGCATGTAAAACATTAGAAGTTTTTATTTCAAAACCGTCAAACACTTAAGATGTTAAATAAGGCTACAAAGTTTGATCTTTCCGTCCTATTCATAATTTTTTGTCACAGTCTACCTCGGCTTCTATTTGATCTGATTAAATTTTAAAAGTAGTTCAATTCTAATCAGAGGTGTTGTGTTTTAGCTCAGTATTGATTGATATAGCTTATCTATCATACAAATCATCAGCTTAACTCTTTATCAAGATTCTGTTATTCAGCGTTATTAATAATATATTCTTTCTTCTTAATGCTCTCATTACCTCAATACATTTTCATATTATTATCTTCATCTATATTATCGTACCAGTAAGTTGACCGGATAATAGCTATTCCATCTTCACGGTTTTCAGGTTTGACTATAGAGCAGTTAATGATCATCGAAACTTCACATCAGTTAGGCATTTGAACTTTTTCTTAACTTTATCGTATCATTTTAAAGGCCCAAATTCATTGTAAGCTCTTGAATTCATGTCTTCCTTCGATCCATAATGAAAAATCGAATGAAGACCTGCTAGAAATCAGTAAAAGTATGTTATCATTCAATCACAGAACAGCTTCAAGTATTTCTCAGAGTTTTTTCCTGACTTTTCTTTCACATGGATTGGAATAACAACTAATGAATCTCGTTGGGATGATGAAACACATATAGACTTCTCAAAGTTTTCGTTAAACTGTAAAGCTCCTTTCAATTCGTTATATGATACTATTCATCCAGATAATGATTCATCTAATGGCTGTTTAGCCTTAGCTCTGAATGGAACTTGGGTTCGGTTAGACTGCTATGAAGTATTGCCCTTTTTTTGTCAGACACAGGTAGTAGATATGTAGTTGTTACTTACTTGCAAAATAAAATTCAGCTTCTATCATCCGATGATATGAAAAGTCCGGAGTCCGGTGGTTCACCTGGTAGTCAAGGCAAGAATCTTATCATTTACTCTCCTTCATTTCCTGAAACCAATTTTAGGTGAAGATGATGGAGGCTTCCCAAGATGGCGTATGTTTTATTCTCGAAATGTTTATAGACGTAGGTTTCAGTTATAATAACACTTTCGGTGGTGGGAGCAGCAGGCTTGATATGCTGCATTTCATGGAAATGCTACTTTCGATTCAAAAAAGAAATCTTTGAATGGAAGGCATTCTTAATTGATCGTAAGAATGCAACTATCAGGCTGAGGTTGGCGGACAGTTTAAAATCATCATTTCGAAATTTCATAATTCAAGAAATGATAACTCTCATCTCCATACAATTCCTAATCAATATCAAAATATGGATGAATTAGATATGGAGTAAGCCGCGTTTAAAATATACTTGACCGTTTGTTTAAGATGTGATGATTGGGAAATAGAAAAATCGAAGCTTGTTGTCTGTGAAAATGAGATGATCGGAAGTGGAGCTTTTGCCAATGTATATTTAGGACATTTATATGGTATTACTTCACTTCGAAGACTGTAATCATTTAACTTATTCTTTAGGTGAAATACCTCTGGTGAAACGAAGTGGAAACACACTTCGCATAGATATCCAACAAGAAAGTGGGACAGAGCATTACCAGGTAGTAGTACAAAAATGAATTCTAGTCATAGAATTTTGTTCAACGCTAACTAACAAAAAAGTTTTAGGTGGCCGTGAAAAGGCTTCCACCGCATGCAACATCTGATAGTAGGGTAGACTTCAAACATGAAATACGGTTCATGAAATCATTAGGGTACCATCCACATATTTTGAGGTGATTATCCAATTCTTCAAAAAAAATTGTAATCTGTAGTTTGCTGGGGGTTGTGACATCCGTTAACTCTTTGATTGTGGTAGAATTTTGTGAGAGTGGAGACTTGCTTTCATACATACGGAAACAGAAAGATGTTTTTCTAGAGGTCCGTAGATAATTTTAGACGTTGATGAATTATTTTCCATTCAAGTCTCTGAAGAATCCCGAATCTGATGTGAAATGCTTATTGACCATGAAACATTTATTATCTATAGCTTGGCAAATTGCTGATGGTTTAGTAAGTTTTTCAACATTCCCAAATGTTCGTCAGCGTGCAACCATTTCTAGCACTATTTGGCATCTTTGAATTATATTCACAGAGATATAGCTGCCCGTAACGTCTTATTAACGAAATACATGTCAGCAAAGGTGAGAATCTAACACTAAATCTTTATTTTCATGGAAAATGTCTTAGATAGGAGACTTTGGTCTTTGTCGTTCCATGGAGACAAGTATGTACACTGCAAAAGGTGGTAGACTGCCGATCAAATGGATGGCAATCGAATCCCTTCGATACTATGAGTATTCTGCTAAATCAGATGTGTAAGAATTATAGAAATCTCTTTATACTTATCAGTTCTTCTTTAGATGGTCATTTGGAGTATTATTATATGAGCTGTATACAGTAGGTCAAGTTCCATATCAAACAGTACAACCGCAAGATATGCCCAAGTATCTCGAGGATGGTAATCGGCTACCGCAACCGGAAATATGCCCGAATGAAATGTAAGAGAGAAAAACAAACATACAGTTTGATTAAGCGTGACGTCATTCACGCTTCTTTCATGTGATTGATGTGATGACGCGTTTACACGTTTCATGTTTATAATTAAAAGTCAGCATCCGGTTGTTAAAATATAGACTATACTAATCATTTCTCACATTTATTAATCACAGATATGAAATAATGCTGAAATGTTGGGAGGCTTTACCAGATGCAAGATTAGATATCCATGAGGTGAGTGACATTCGTTTTCTTTGTTTGAGTATAATTACATCGACCAGGTACGAGAGAAGTTGACTATGCTTCTGAACTCAGACAGTGAAACATACGGATATGTGGATTTGAAAGATTTGACAAACGAAGTCTGTCCGATTTGAACTTCCTCTTTCTTCTCTCTGAAAATCAACGATCTCACTAAGAAGCATTAAAATTCATTCGAAATCCTTTAAATTATTAATTATATTGAAGATACAATAAATTCTATAAGAAAAGTTTTTCATTTATAAGTGCAAACATTTTTTTTTATTTCCACTCAATTTGTTATTCAACAATTGCATTATTAGTTCATTTTATTAAATGTGGTAATAGCCATTCCAATCATCGAAACCATGTCGATAGACAGGCTAGAGATTCGACTACCAGCACAGCTCCTTGTCGATTGACAATCCATTCACCTAAGAGATCAATTAATTCATTGAGCAATTACTTTAGAAGTACTACCATGTGCATTGCATTCCAAGTCAACAGTTTGATCTCCCTGGGCGAAAAATCCGCTTTGTCCAAAATTGAACTATTGATTGTCATAATAAATATCTGAGAGCCTGTTAAATTAAAACCTGAACAAATGTTTCGGATTTTTCTTCGATTCCATTGCATGTAAGTCGTTGAATCTACAATGGGATGCTATTATCAACGAACAAAATGTTTGGATTCAATCACTTACAAAGCAATTGTCATCACTGAGAAGTTTCTCGACTTTGTAGTTTCCTGGATTTCGATGATGAGATTCTATTGGAGCAAGCATACAGGATGTGCAACCTAAAGAATGATGGTTTCTCAAACACTAAAAAAAGTAACTTACCCTTTGGTGGTAAAGCCCAAGCACTCATGAAAACATAACATAAAAGAAAATTAATTGATATTGTGATACGCATCGTGAGGCTTTTTTAAACGAGAAACTAACAGCTGAATATTTAAGTAGATTTTCTATACAGGTTACAGGATAACTTACACAAGTCAGTTTCGTTTGGGCGTTCACTCGCTGGCGAGTCTTGCCGAAGAATGAGAAGCTTAGGCGACCTTCTGATCATCAGACTGTGGCTGATTATTCAGCTGATCAAACGAGCATAACACCGAATTAACACCATTCTCTACACCTATCATGCTAGAAGCTTCCAATACATACACATATTGACAGAGATCAACATCTGTAAATTGGGGACAACCTCCGCTTCCGAAAAAAAAACATACCAGTGAAAGCCTAACCTTTGGTTCTTAAAGATTAAACTGTAGAATACAACAATCTCTCGAAGCGTAAAACTTATAAATAGTGGGCGAATAGAAGAACAAAGAACAACTTGAAAAAAAAAACACAAAAAAATTATTTAAGGATCTGAATGTTATCCATGAACATTTTTCAAGTAATATCTTTTCAACAAGATACATCCCTTAACATTTCTTAGAAAAGCGCTCTAAGTTTCTCCATATCTTATCGATTCACATGAGAATTTCGTTTGGTGGAAATGAGGAAATGGTTTTAAATATTTATTTACCGCCAAATATTTGGCAGTTTCAACAAAACGAAGCTTGATGATAGGTTGCATTCTTTTATTTCGTTGTACCTTCTCCACATATTATAAAATACTTCTCGGGAAATTGAGTCGTTAATATTTTCTTCTTTATACAAAGTTAGCAGCAACAACAGCATATATCATCACAACAGTTTTCGAGACAGCAACCACAGCACAACCCAGCTAATAACGCAGCTACAATTCCTCCTCCACCACCTCCTCCTCTGTGATTTCGGTTATAATATGGCTGTTCGACTCTTAAAGAAATGTTCGACAAATACTTACGAAAAATTTACAACTTCATGAGTCATAGAGAGGGTAATCAGAAAACATGCTAAAGGTGCTTTTTTTCCAGCGAAAAAACATTTCTTAAAGTTTTCCCGAGTTCACCTCGTGCCAAATTCTATTATTTGAACAGGGATCATCGAAAAATGAAAATATCATTGATCTTTTCATATATTGACGACAGATAACTTAGATTTAGTCTTTTCTTTTTTTTAATTGTCATTATAGTTTCACTCACATCACTGGTTGGGGAGCTGCATGTGGATAATATGCTTGAGGTCCAGGCTGGTACCCAGGCTGATTAGTGTACATTGGTGGACAAGAATCCTACGAATACTATGAGTAAAAATGGAGTACAATGTTTCAACAACCTGTGGAGGGTAATCACAGCGATGATGATGATGATGATAATGATGGCTCATTATGCGATTTCTGAAAGACATCATTTGCAACATAGTTTGTTTGAAACTCAAGTAAAAGCTAAAGAAAATCGATATTACGGTAAAAGTTCTCAGATGTGGCAGCGATGACTGTTGAACAGGAGAGGTGATTTCTGTCATGTGTACTCAACTCTCTTCCCCAGGAATCCCTCCCCTATTACTCATCTGTTTGTTCAATTGAAACGGAAGAACTATTTGAATGTAGAAAAAAGTTTATTCATCTATTATTCTGTTCATAACTGGTATGATAATATTTATTTATTAGAAAATTTCTAAGAAGAAGTCCATTTGGGAGATCTCTTCGCGCTGAAGGCTTCCATTCCTTCTCTACGATCATCCTGGAAAGAAGAATTGAATTTTTCATATATTCTCAAGAACCAACAGTAGCAAAAGTAGTGTGGAATAATCGTCTTTCATATCTTAATCCTTCTCTGAGAGTAGTTTCATAAGCAGAGTTCACGGCTTCCTGAACCGATTCAATAGAAATATTCTAATGACAACTAACTTTTGCCATTTGTACGATTAAAGGAGATTGCTCGCTGATTTTCTCTCCTAGCTTGATGGCTTCGTCAACCACTTTCTCCGAAGGATAAACTTTGCTAACAATACCACATTCTTTAGCCTCTAGTGCGGAAACTCTATTTCCAGTCAAACAGACTTCCATGGCCATAGACTTTCCAGCAACACGAGCCCATCTTTGAGTACCTCCAGCTCCTGAGCATACAATACCACTCAAGACACTATACCTAATTATTTACCTGGGATAGTACCAATATTAATTTCTGGTTGTCCGAATTGAGCTGTATCTCCGGCATAGATAATATCACACATCATAGCTAATTCGCATCCTCCACCCAATGCATAACTAGAAAAGCAGGATCGTACTTTGTGCAATCAGTTTCTCCAAACCCATTGACAGCAGCAATAACGGGTTTGCTGGTATCGCTGACAGCAGTCCATTCCTCCAAAAAGCGACCAGCGAATGTAGTAGCAAACTTACGATCGACCATCTCTTTAATATCAGCTCCAGCTGAATGTTTTTTTTTAATATGAGAAAAACAAAAATGAAAACACCAGCAAAGGCTTTCTGGCTACCAGTGATAACAATCGCACCAATCTCTTTGTCGGTGTCCAAAGCTCTAAGAGAGGAAGAGAGCTGGAAATATAAAATTAGATATGAAAAAAAGCGAAATATACTTCTGTCATGAGTTCATTACAAAGCGCATTGAACGCCTTGGGACGATTAAGAGTAATCAAAGCGACATTCTTTTTCTCTCCGACTTTGTCGACTTTGATCATGTTGAAAGCTAAACGCGAAGAAAGCTTGAGAAGGTATTTGCATCAAAAAGAACTCACCCATCGCAGCTTTATGTCCGGAACTGTATGAACGGACAGTAAGTCTTGCGAGGTCTGAGCTTAATTTCAATAACATCGTACCACTCTGAAAAATCAGACCATCGAGAGATAACAAAGAAACAACTTCACGAACTCAGTAGACACTAATAAAGAAATGTGGAAGAAAGGGTCTACTACATACTGAGATATATTTCAACAAGACTGAAAAAATGTGAAAGCTGGGCCAAAACAATCTTTTGAACGATTCGTCTGCTACAAAGTTTTATCACCATTTATCAGATGGAAGAAGGTAACAATCGGCACAAGAGAACATTGAACACCCAAAATACATTTTGAGAGAGCTGTGCTCCAATTAAGTCAATTATCCAATAATCTGAACAATACGAAAAGAAATTCTCTGCTTCCAGTATGATAAGATGGAATTATAACTTGAAGATTGTTCCACTATATTATCAGTTTATCGCATGTAACGTTTAATTAAAAATGGTCTTCTTGTATAATCACGTACGACCTTTGCCTGTTGACGTCAAGGACATACAGTTCGCTAAAATTAAGATGGTTCCTTAAATTGCATGACAACCTATACCACTTATAATATACATATCGATCAAACTGTACTTTATTCTTCATGACCATTTTCCGTTGATCGGATTTTTATTATTAATTATTTGCATAGTTTTAGATAATTCATATATGATAGGCATATAGGGCTGATGTATTTTTGTGAGTAATCAAGTCAACGTACTGTTGAAGACCGCGATATCCTTAAGGTTACCATCCGTTATTTTTTCCAAATCGAGTTTTTTGTTTTCTTTAGCTCTGAATGGGTCTTTCCCTTAGCCGAATTAATGAAGTGTTTGGTCGGAGACAGGAACCCGCCGAAAACGGTGAGGAGGAGCCCGAAGAAGTGAACATTCCTGGCCCCACAGGTAGTATCGATTGGTCTAATGATGTTCATGAACGTCTTCTTGAAGGCTCTATATTTGGCTCTCATTTTCTCATGTGTGGCGAGAGTTTTGGATTCGCCAAACCAGAAGCGTTTCTTTTCGGTGAGAATGCTGATCTCGAGCTACTCGGAAACCGTCCTGTGCCGGTGGGTGCACAGCACTTCTGCAGATGACCCTATTATTTATAGTTCCCATACCAATCTCCAGTGGGTAGTAGTGAAGTTAGACCTTTGAATCTATTGGTGAACATAAGAAAAGAATCTGTGAAGTTTGTTCGGTATGTTTTTAAGTTTTGTATACTTTCTCATTTATTCCTCTCAAGATTGAAGAATGAAAGTCCGGAGTCTTCACTTTTCCAATTAGAGTTTACCATAGACGCAGAATGTCCTTGTTTTGTGCAAGTTCACTTCAATGCTCGAGAGTTTTATCAAGATGGGGATGTGAGGTTTGTTATATCATTGTGATGCTTCTACAAAAGCTTGAATGCTCGATTTTCTAGCTTCTCCTATACGAACAAGAAAACCTCTATTGATAGACCAAATCACTCCGAACGTTATCACTTCGACATGGGCTGTGATCAACTATTTAATAATTATGTTTTTGATCTTTCAAAATGGGATCTGAGCGAGGTTTGAATGAGTTTTGAATGTTCTCACGGCACTCTATTCCAGCTGCAGTACCGAGGCGGTCTCCATTTCCCTTTAGTTATTTTGGTACAAACTGATGCTATAGAGAGGGTTCAGGTTCAAACTACCTTATGCACTATTGAGGTTGTGTTGTTTTAGATAATTTTTAATAGTTGTCTTTGCAGCCTGCTAACGATGTGGGTAATATGGTTATTTTAAAAGCGCTCCGCCAGAAAATTGCCTGTGATGGAGTTATATATCTACTTCAAGTTCGTTGTACATTACTTTATGCCCTATCATATTTTTACTTCAAGGAAATTTTTGGAATCGAAAATAAAGAACAACACGCTGACTTGGGTGATGAAGGTGGTTTAGAATGCATTATATGTATGAGTGATGTTCGCGATACTGTCATATTACCTTGCCGCCATTTATGTATATGTACGAATTGTGCTGATACTCTGAGATACAAAGTTACATCGGTGAAAATGACAAGTTTGCATTTCTTTATTTCAGCTCAATAACTGCCCTATTTGTCGTTCACCGTTCCGGGCTCTCATTCAGCTTAAAGCTAAGAGACAAACTCGTAATCATGGGTGAGCTGGGATTGATTTAAAACTTATAATTTTTTCCTTCAAGCTTTGAAACTATAACATTAGTAGAAGGGTTGAATGGTTCTCAACACGTGTCTTACGATAGAAGCTATCCAGGTCCTCAAGATGAAACTGCTTGCAGTGTATCATCAATAGATGATTCGGTAAGTAATTAATTGTAATTAACAGAAAAAATCGAAGTCTCAAAAACGCGTTCAAAAATTGTTATGAGTTCGCAAGAGCTTTCATTCTCACATATTGCCTGCACTCGTTCGGTTATCAAATTCATTAGTAATCACTTAATTTTCAGAAAAGCAATGAACCTGCTGATGTTGTGGAATCTCCTGATGGGATCGAGATGAAATCTTATCCCAGAAAAGAATCAAAAGTATAATTTCCATTCAATCCAGAAAATATGAACTATTCAGCCGAAAGAAACTCCTGTATTATCAAACGTCTCGTCCAGAGCTTCAACTCCTTCTGCCTCTGTAGATGAGGTAATAGCAGAATAGTTTTTTTTTGTAACCCTGTTCTCTAGATCGATGTTACTATTCAAAATAAAAGACACTCCAGTGGTATATCCGGTCGGCAATCAAGCACTAGTTTATTAGAGAGTGTAAATAAAACAGAACATGAAGAAATTTAACACAGTATTAAAAAATACTTAGTTACCTTTATATTTACGGCTTGTTTTCATTGTATATATATTTTATTTCATATCATTGAGATGGGTGACGGTTGTGCATAATATGTTTTTTTTGGGATAATGAAGCATATCAGATACTTCGTAATTTAATTTTGTTCCCACCGTAATTATCGGACAGTACCCTTCCTCTCCGGTTACTTACGTAGGAGTTTCAAATGAAGTTTTAAGATCAACATATGGACACACACGATGCTGCGGTTATTTTTATTTCTCAAGTAGTGAACTACAATAAAAATTCAAGAAACCTTTTCCTTTAGATTTTGTTCTTTGTATGTGGATGGCTTTTCTTCATGAAACAGCTTTTCAAGAACTATGAGGTGCATAATAGGTTTGTTGCGTAGAATGATTGAAGCATGCCATGTCAAGATTTTCAGAGGTGTTCAACTTGCATTTTCAATTACTTTTTCATTATCTTGTACTATGTTTGAATTAATAATATTTGAAATTATGGATGTGATGAACTCGAGGTTTTTTTATATTTGGTCCTGAAAACTTTTTGCTTATAGGTCTCGGTTTCTTTCGTGGAAGCTATGCTTGAGTCTGATTCTGATAGACCTTATTGTAGCTTTACCTATATATGTATCATATTCTTTGTTGAGAAGCATTCCCTTCAGTTAGTCTTTTCTCTTAACCAAAGAAGAAATAGTGTTTTCAGTTCGGCATAAGGCAATTATGCCACTTACATTACTTTTCTGGTTCATATTCATTTACTTTTTCTGGAAATTAGGAGATCCTTTTCCAATACTGAGTGCTAAACATGGTAAGTAGTTAATATATCAAGATTATATGATTGTCCTAGGTATCTTCACTATTGAGCAAGCAATTTCACGAATTGGGGTTTTCGGTGTTACAGTAATGGCTGTTTTATCAGGGTTTGGTGCTGTGAATGCTCCATATACATGCATGACCATCTTCACCAGAAAAGTATTTCCAAAAGTCAGCGTACGACAATGGAATTGTTTAGGTTGATCAATCAGCGATTACTCAAATGGAGAGGAAACTCACTCAAACTTTGGAAATGATCGCTTCAAAAAAGAGAAGAATAGCTCAGCATGAGAAAGAAGTTGCTCTCAGCGCTTTTTCAAGAGGTGCTACCAGATTCGCTGGTTAGATAAATATATTTTTTTAAGGGAAAGAAGATCAGAGTTTTCTAAATAGAATTTGGGGATCAGTTTCCAGTGTTACCAGTAGCCTTTCATCGACAGACCAAATCAAGTGAGTGACTATCCCTTTACTATAATCCTATAATCAGTTCCGAACTTGCAGGCAACTTAACCTTGAAATCTCTAGCTTGGAAGAGTTAAGTAGGCACTTATTTCTTGAGCTAGTAGAGCTAAAAAACATGGCTGTATGTCATTTATGTTTCCAGCTTATGAGTTATCTTTATTCAGGATAGAATAGAGTACAGCAAAACATGGATGGGGAAATATTTCAATGTGTTGGGTCACTTTTTTTCTGTTTACTGTCTATGGAAAATATTTATTTGTACAATTAACATTGTGTTCGATCGAGTTGGAAAGGTCGATCCTGTCACCAAAGGCATTGAAATAGGAGTTCACTGGATGGGAATCGATTTAGATGTCTGTGATATTTATTAACTACCTTACAGTGATTCAATTAAGGTTCGGTTTTGGTCACAACATATATCTTTCACTCTGGTAGGAGTAATTGCTGTCACGTCCATACGTGGACTTCTAATCACGCTAACAAAATTCTTCTTGGCCATTTCCAGTACAAAGTCATCTAACATTATCGTTCTTCTACTTGCTCAAATAATGGTTTGTATTGTATTTCTTTTTGATTTATAACTGACTCTTTTGAGGGAATGTACTTTGTATCCAGCGTACTGTTAATGAGGATGAACATGCCGCATGAGTATAGGTGTGCTAACGTTATTGAGGCTGGACAAATTCTGTTTATTTTCAGAATTATCATAACTCAGGTCTTGGGAGATCTTCAGTTTAATTTCTATCACAGATGGTTTGACGTGATATTCTTAATATCAGCTCTTTCAAGTATTATGTTTTTGTATCTCGCCCACAAGCAAACGCCGGTTCACTAATAAATTATTTATCTGATTATCACATTTCGTTGTAAGACTTCATTGCGTCTACCATTTCATAGAACTTTTGGTATTTTGGATTCTCTCTCTCTGTTATAGATAACTTGTTGTTGAATTTCTGAAACATCAAGAACTAATAAAACAAAAATGATCAAGTCTTGCCTGTATGGAGGAGTGGTGAAACTGATAAGATACAATAGCTTTCCCCAAGTTTACGAAATCGAATTCAGGCCAGAGAACATCATCAAAATAAATGTGAGCCGATGAGCACTTAAACTATATTCATCCTTATTACCCGTTGATCCTACCCACCTGCCAAAGCATGAAATCACTCATACGATGTTCTCCACTAGTTCTAATGAACAAATCTGGAAAGCAGCCCCTACAGCTATCCATGCAAGAAGATATTAGTGTTTCAGTGATATCAGTTTTGTCAATTAGACCCTAAAAATGATAAAGTCACTTGGGGAAGTAAACTGGTATCCACTTCCTGTACACCACGTCGTATTATTTCAAAAGATCTTTCCATTTCATCCCTGGATGTATACGGCATACAAACATTAACAATTCCTCTAGAATACAGTATGTCTGGATCACGAACAGAAGAACTAACTTTTTAAAGTTTTTTGAAACATCTTGAATTTCGAGAATCAATTTTCTCAAGCTAGGAGATAGAAGACTTAAATTTCCAAAAAATCTGAAGGAAATTTGTTTCTCTTCCATTTTCTCTCTATAATTTGTGATTTAAATGAATAAGCACACACATAGGAGAATTTACTTCTCGTTTAATAGACGAGAAAATTTATCTTCTGCTAATGACATCAATCCATTCACTTCTTCTGTACTTCTTTTGAAGTTCTCAATACTAAACGCATATACAGTAACTTCTTCAATGCCAAAATCTTGACACCACTCCAATATCTGTAAAACCAAATCTGAGAAGAAATTAGTAGGCGTGAATACTTTAGCCAATTGTTGAAAACCCTTCACATGTCCATTCAAAGCGCTCCCCAATTTGTTAACTTTCGCAAAACGTCGATTACCGTCCATTACAAACGCAATATGCTTAGGCATCTGGATTTATGAACTCTCTTTGCTAATTTGAAACAAAAGAACTCGTACAATTCCTTTGGAAATAATATTTTTAACTAAAAAGTGCCACCATTTCTTTTCTTTTTGCGCAGTGTCCCACCACCCATCGTCATCATTAACTATAATAGCCATTCTGAAACTATGAAACGACATTTAATACAAATCAAAACAAATAAAAACCGTGTACAGTACAAATAGATGCATGATTTCACAAAATACCGGAATAAAATTAATTTAATTACACAAAGCATAAATAACAAGAATACACATATGTTATACCAAAATGAGAAATAATCAGTCAATGCTCATTGCATTTGGTTCAGCAATTGGTGTGTTTTCTGAATCTGACATATCATGATATTTGCGTACAATACGCGGACCATAGACAAGTACATAAGCAGTGTGCCAATCACCACCTCCTGATAAGTTGAGCACCTAATTAATAGTGATCATTGAAAGTGAGTGCAGTGTTCTAATCTCACCTGTTCAGGAGTGACCACCTGCACTTCTTCATCATCGCAAACTACCCATTTATTCTCAACTTTAATCCAGGCTACATAATGACCTCCGTTTGATGCTCTTCCTTTGTGGGTAATAACAGCCTGCATTTCGAAAGTTTAAAGCGTAGCATTTATTGATCACCTGTAGTTCATAAAAGCCACTGTTGTTGCTACCTTCGTCTTCAGGGAAAGAAAACGGGAGCTCATCGTAATCTTCGTTCTAGCAAAGAAGGTATGGCAATGATCGAAAAAACGTGCTTACCTCCACTACTTTAGATTTTTCATCGACTTTGATACGCCTCATCTGCTCAACCTTTGCATCTTCTTCGAGCTACAACAACATATTCAATAAACAAAACAACTTAAGATAATGAACCTTGATGGCTTCTCGTTGAGGACGTAGCTTGGCTTGCAAACTTGGGGAGCACATATCATACATATCCAGAGACATTGGGAACTTGACATCTTTCAAAATTTTTGCACTGGTCTATTTAAATCAACATATTTTCCTTGGAAAAAAAATTAAACAACCTTCGAAGACTCTTTATAGAAGAATCGAACCATTTGAATGGATAAATAGGCAGGTAATCTTTCGATTAATGCCTGAAACACATGTCAATAAAACAGAAGTGAGCAAGAAACAAACCTTTTTGGACCATTTTGCATCTCTGCTGAGAGTAGTGCTATTTTTGGTAATTTCCTCAGTTAGTTTCTCTTTGATTCCTGATTGCAAATATTTGACTTGGGCTGATAAAAAACAAGACAACTAAAATATCATAATGAGGAAACAATTAAAGTCGGTAAAATACCTGGAAAAAATCTTCAGAAGTAGTTTGTTCGGGTTCACTGTCGTCTTCCAAACACTTCTGAGATATAATGAATTTTCCTTTGAAGAATTTTTCGATGTTGATTCCAGAATCTTTCAACCCTTTCAGGCACAATCGTTGCAACTCAACGTAACATTCATTAGCATCTTGTTGTTCAAAACTTCCCGAGTTTGATCTCTCAGAAAACTGAGGCATAGCTCGGTGCAGATTCTGAAAAAAAATTGAAATGCTTCATAGCTCACAAGTACTAACTTGGAGCATGTTTAGAGGTGCCACTGCAGTTGTGAGACTTGAACTTCTCAGTTCTCCATTCAAATGCTTTAGTGCCAGAGTAATTTCATCTGAAATATCATAAAATGATTTGTAGAAATAAAGCCTTAACCTGAGATTGAACTTCTGGATTTCGCTGAGTAACTCTCTAGTGCACTTCCAACCTCTTTGATGTTCTGAAGAAGATTACAAAACTTCATAGTGAGAGTCACTTACCAGAAAACTTTGTATGACCGAGTTCATGTAACAAGTGTTTCCAAGATTTTTTATTCCCCTGACCAATCGAATTTCGGAGCCATCGGGAGTTTGGATAGTAGATGAATTCTCATTTGTTTCGGCCTTTGGCGCTTCGAGAACAGCTTCAGCACTTTAAGCAAAAATTAGTTAAGACTAACATAACATTTTGAAGAAAATACCTTCCCATCATCATAATCATAGTACCTGGCGCTAAAGTAATTCCATTCCAAGAACTATCGGACAAGGTTTTTCCCTTTAAGATAGATGATTGATTCTTCTAGTTGAACATCACAGACCTTAACAACAATCTTCTGTCTATCAGGTGGAACACTGGTTAGAGCAAACAGCTGAGACTTGAAAACCAATGGAGATTCATTAATGTCAACGTCCACACTGAGCTTCTCTTTGCCCCATTTCACTGTTATATTTGGCATAGCTGAGTCTGAATTAATCATGATTCATGTTATTTCACAAACATATTAGTTTTAACTCTCTTATTTATTTTTTAAGATTATTTCAACGTCAAAATTTGGAAAAAAAATGAGACAGAAAACAAAATAGATGACAAAATTCAACACACAGAGAAATTCAAACATGATTTCGCTGCGGGACTCTTTTCTTTTGAAAATTGACTTTCCAAATTGCTTCATACTTATAAGTCTATTTTTCTCATTAGAATAGTTGTGAATTTCTTGATTTTCCTTTCTGCAGATGTCAACAGATAACTCACAGGTTGTTAAAAAAGTAGCTATAGCCGCTGCTGTAGGAGTGGGGGCCGTAGGAATCGCTTATTTGATATCCAAAAAACTTCGTTCCGGGCCCACGGTTTGATTCATAACTGAAGCGATTGTTTTGATGCATTACAGTTCGATGCTAACTCTTTGACAATCGATGAACTCAAACAACTGGGAAACACTTTTTTCTCCGAGAAAAAATATGCGGAAGCTATTCAGGTAACTATGAACAAGGCTCGAGTGCGAATATTGAGATTTGAAGGCGTTTACTGCTGCAATAAATAAGGGTGCGCGAGATAAGTTGGGATCAATTTGCTACCAAAACCGTGCCGCAGCTAAAGAGGTATTGTTTTACTCATTGGTGAAAATCACAAATGATTCAAGAGAGTAGGAGGACATTCTCTTGAAGATATTGTTTCTGATTGTGAGAAAGCGATTGAGCTAAATCCACAATACGGTAAAGCTTATTGGAGAAAAGCACGTCTGCAACATCAGCTAAAACATTATTCGGAAGCTTTAACAAGTATGATATTTTATTCATTCTAAACTTTTATGTGCTGTTTTCTAGGTGTATTCTGTGCATCATATTTGGATGCATCATTCTCGAGCCAGGCAACAGAGATCCTATATAAAATATTGGGGAATATTCAAGATTTTTATAAAGATCAATGGTCATCCTCTGTTATCAATGGTTCTGGCAAGCATGTGCGCCACGAAAGAGTATGTTCTTGTTTTTGTGAAACTGATATATTATTTATTCAAAAGGTGTTTGTTTGGCTCCATAAAACTGTTTTGGATGATCCCATTCGATCTTTGATTCTGAGTTGGGACAGAAAAACGAGCACGTAAATCATTATCAGAAGATTTTTCTTATTTATCCTTTGTAGCCAGTTCGGAAATGCCTTGACTCTGATTGCTGAACTGAAGTATGATGACGTTGCAGCTGAAGCAGAAAAGGAAGAAGGTGAGAATAAGTTGGAGGCTCTTCTCTTAGCCGCCCGATTCTATACTTATCAGAACTTGATGGAAGATGTTAGTTCCTTACTTGTCTTCTTTCCAACAAAGCATTTAGGCTGAGAGATGCCTCAATCTTTTTGACACCGAGTGGGAAAAATTAGATGATACACAAAAAGGAACTAGAAAGCCAGTTCTGTCTTCCAAACATCTGATCTGCATAGAAAAAGCTCACACGTTGGATGAAATAAAACGGTATTTACTTCAGTAAATATAAGTCAATTTTCATTTTAGCGCTTTCTTGAACGCCTTGTCCACAGATATCAGAAATGCAGATTTTTACTCTGCCGCTGCTTTCCGCTTGGTTCTTGCCGATGAGAAGCTAGAAGCTCTAAAGATTCTCAATACTGAAGGAGTTTCCAATGACAATATCACGTACGAGTGTTAGCATGTAAATTGGTATTTTTTAACTTTACAGTCTTTTGAACTTCACTCTAAAAATCATGATGGGAACAGCGAGTCAAGATCCATCAGTTCTCATCAATACTATCAAAGCTCTAGAGGAGTTCTGCAATGGCCTGGACAATAAAAGCATGTTCAGTAAAATACTCCTAGCTAAGGTTAGTTGATGTCACAGATTACAACTTATCAGTTGATTCAGGTTTACGCTACATTTGGTAATGATGAATCAGCTCGTGAAATCATGGATGGGTTAATAAAGCAGTATCCCAACCTTTCGATTCTCTACTACGATAGAGGGTAGGTGTAGAAAAAAAAATGAAACTGCTCTTATGTAGGTTAAAATCAAAACTCATAGTCTAATGACCAAACGTTGGTTACGTGCCAACAAGGTTAGGTATGAGCGATGGTCTATGGTTCGATTCCCCTGAAATCTTTATCTGCTATGCATGTCGTGGTTATCAGATCTTGTAGCAGGGGTAAAGCATATTCTGTGCTATAGTATTAATCCTCTATCATTGGGGCTTGATAAAGCAGCATTAACATTCAAAATTTTTTGTTACAGTTGTATGGCAAGAGATAGAGATGAAGCTGTGACTAATCTTAACCGTTGTCTCGAAATTGAACCTCATCATAGCGAAGCTAACTTGATGTTAGGAAGTCTCCTTCTGGATGAAATGAATGATAGCCTGAAGTCACCGTAAGTTCTCATTAAATTCTTTTCGTAAACCACTGTTTTCAAGTGACTGCTTCAAAACGATTCTGGACCTCATCAACCGTGCCGAGAGTACATTCGATAGTACTATCGATTTTCCTGTTTTAGATGGAGTTTTCCGAATGAAAGCCATTATCGAAGCGAAGAAAAATGCTGCACGTCTCTTAAATGTCCAATAGATTGATTAAGTTGTTACTGATTGTTTTTCAACCCCTTGTTCTTCTCGTTTTCTCATTAAAAAAATTAAAAAATAACTATTCATGCTATTTAGTACTATAAAATAAAATACATCTAATAGAGATATGTTCTAATTCTTATATGGAACCCGATATGAGAAAAGTTATTATATGTCTATAAAAACGAAGATATTATGCGTTTCTAATAGACCTCTAAGCTCTTATGGTATGCAAAATCACGATTGTGCTTCTGGTAAGGGTATTAAAATATTTGCAGCAGACAGCATCTCCACCGACGCCTCTTTCTGCACTTCACAGTCCACTATCTAAAATAAACATTGATGATGGAACATGACGCAACCGGAAAACTTCCGGAACGTACTGTCTGGCGGCGTTTTTTCAGCATTTTTAACATTGTGTGCACAGCCGCCCCGAGCAATAATGGGATGGGAGTAAAACACGCAACTATCACCGGAATCACTGACCCTATGTCAGCATCAGGCTGAGCAAAGGACGCCTGAAACTACACTCATCACCCACACAAAATATCACAAACAGCAACGTGCCTTTAATAAAAATATAGACACTCCCGTGTTCTGAATTCCTGTTTCAATCGCGATGGCGGTGACATCACTCGGTGATTGGCGGAAGAGTATCGACGCGAAGCATCCAAACATGAATCCACACCACGGAAGCAGAAGACCGCTGTAAGAAAAAAGTAAAAATAAATTCTATTTTCGGAAATGATTGATACACACCCAAATATCGCAGGCCAAGACATCATATAGAACATGTACGAATTAGAAATGCAGCCAAACAATACTACGAAAACGAGCACGAAAATTATAAAAGGACGCATTACCTGGAAAATTGAATTACATTAATTGGAATTTTTTCATAACTAACTTGTCGTGCTCGTATAGCCCATGTTGGTTTAAATCTTTGAATCGCGACACCGATTAGTAGAGGTAGAACTAGTACAAAGAGTGAACGAGTGATGTTAGCTGAATTACAAAATGTTTCTCCTAAACTTAAAGATGGTATACCATATGGAACTTTCATCTGTGTTTGGGAAGAAAAACCACCAAGAAATCTGGAACCCAGCCAGGAAAGCCACAATGGCATCATCACTATAATTAGAAAACAATGAAAAACAAATCCCTATAATCTCTCCTACCTAATGAGAGGACAGTAGACACGAATGTCATTGTCACCGAAAGATTAACATTCCCATCCAGCAGTAATGTCCAATAATTAGAAGCGCCCCCTCCTGAAGAGAGATATGGAAAAGCTATGTTTCAAGAAAACTTACCCGGAGAGCAACCAGTTATGAAGATTCCAAGAGCCATGGATGGAAGGCCTCTCGGCATAAACACGAATATGGCGATACCATAAGCAAGCTGAAAGTTGAACTCTAAACTAAAAACCAAAAAAAGTAAAAAGGCCTTACTAATGGCATTATCACGAACTGTGTGAGAAATCCTATGAAAGGAGCTAAAGGACGTCGAATTGTTGACACCACTACGTTCATATCAATCTATAGCAGTAAAAAATAGAATAAGTGAATAATTCAATTTATACTTCGCAACCCATCATGATATTAGCCAGGATTATTAGTGTAACGACAGACATGACGAAGTAATGAGTCAATTTTTCTGAACCCGCACTTCTGCGAACCCAAATATCGAATGTCTCTTCTGATGTGTATTCATCACGCTAAAAAGGTCCATTTAAGCAGAACGGAAACGCTTTACTCACTATGGTGTCATTTCCGGAATCTTCCGTGCCATCCGCTCTTACGAGATGAACTAAGTAGGCTGTCTTCCCCATGCGATTACCTTTTAAGACAATCGGAGTCTTAAAATCGATCGTAATAGCTGCCTTATAAGTGTCAAACTAACCGATATGTTGAAATACTTTGTCACTTCATCATATTGAAATGCGCTACTCTTGAAATGCAAAGCATGATCTACCTCTGCCACATTATACATAGATTGTCTCAAAGGCCTGGAAGAGAGAAAGGAATTTGAGTCTCTCGGTGAGTAGGTAACAGCTGCTCACTTGAAGTCTAAACTCCAATCTCCATGTTTCAGCTTTTCTTCCGGAAGTTGTATTGATAGTAAGGCACTACGATTATCGCCTTCGACGAGATCATGTATAAAACGAGGTTCCGTGTTTATTATTACTGATCGTGATGCATCTGCCGCTGTGCTGATTACGATCTGAAAAAATCATCAGAACAACTTGCTTCTAAAGAATTACCTGAAGAATAAATTTAAACAGTAGCATAATGGGACATGATTTCTTGGGACTTATTAAACCCATCTGGAATATGACCGTTAGTTGAGAGCAGAACTGTTGGAATAAATGCACAGAAAACATTACTTTGAACAAACAAGTAACACAAATAACACTGAAAATGGGAAAGCGCTAGCAAGCAGCGCAATTGGTGTAGAGGTAGGATGGCTTTTAACATCTCTCCTCCCACCATCAATTTCCAAAAAGTGTTAATCTCGTGACCATTAAGAAATTTCCGCCGCATTAGAGGTTGCGTGTTGGGTAGACATGAGTTCAATTACGAGAAAGCAATAAAGCAAACGAATATAAAGCTATCTAATCTGTTGCAAAAATGGGAAAATGGCAACGTATCAACGTTAATCACTCTGACGTCACTTTCTTTGAGTTGCACATGTTAAAAAATATGAACAAATACATATTGTTACACGGGCGGTACATAAGCGAACTATGCGTTGAAAGATTTACCTGCTAATATATCATAATCAACGCTGCGAGTCTGATTAGAAAAAACTAAAAATCTGAAAAAATATTCATGTTGGTTGCTGCAAGAAGCCGAAATAAAAATGTGGAGAAATTCATGTAATGCATGAAAAAATGTAGTTTTTGGTCCCGACACGCTGCCCCGTTTCAACTTTTTCACGGCCGTTGTGAAGTCTACGTTTTTGCACACTATTTTCTACTTACTTGAATAAAGCACAAAAAATTCGTCTTTCTTTTCAAGTAAAAAAGTAATAAAGAATAATTGTGAACTTCAACATCTAACAACCTATTTTTAGATAAATTTGGATGTGGGGAGTAACAGGATTTATAAAAGTATTGCAGAGGTTTGTTATATGGATATTCTATTGTGAATGAGTGTTAAGGTCGTCTTTGTTGCCAAGAGTATCGTCCGTAAGAGAAAATAGCGTTTTTAATCAGTTTTTTGATGATGAAGCCAACTTCGCAAAATCAGAGCTAAGGCCGAAAAAACGGCCCGGACGATCATGGACTGTGGAAGAGTTAAGACTGAAGTCCAATACGGATGTACACAAGCTTTGGTAAGCAGAAATTCATGGCTTAACCTTTATGAATATTAGGTATGTTTGCTTAAAAGAGAAAAATATGCTATTAACTATGCGAGCAGCCTATGTGGAACAGGCACGATATATGCCGAATCCTGAAAGACTTGATAGAGTGAAAGAAGTAGGATGTTGCTAAATTTTTTTTCATGAAATCTGCGTTCTAGACGATGCAAAATATTGAACAAGTGGTACACGAGAGAAACGATGCATATTATAAGTTAGAAACTGGAGATAGTGCTGACGTTCCACTTCGAACAGTCACTTCATTCATGGGATTCACATACAAAAGACAAAGTACAGAACATTATAGCGAAGCTAATCCGAAAGAAATCGCAGTGGAGGTACTGATGCTAGGTCAAAATAACCTCGTCATGTTTTGCTCAGGTGCCTTATCTTGATGATGATGCTTATATGATGCAAAAACTGTGGAAAGAAAAAGAGCATCTGAAAAAGAGAGACAGGTATATGGTTTGCACGAATGACTAGTATTAAATATTCTGTTCAGTATGGATATGGCAGGAAACGGTATGGGGTCACAAAGGCGCAGAGATAAATTAGGCAATATTGCAAGTTCCAAGTTCCACAATCGCTAAAATTCCATTAAAATCAGTGTTCAAAATTAACGTAGTCGTAAGCTGAACACTAACATTAAGCGTTCAGCTTAGGACTTCGTTAATTTTGTTGATAACTGTTTTAGTGTTGACCATTGTTGTTATCATTCTAGTTATTAGTTCCACTCCTCATATAGTTACTGTATTTAATAAAGCCTTCGTATACATTAAATATGTTCAGACTCAACCTTAGTGTTCGGCCCTAATCCTTTTGTTTTTTTTGATAACTACTGAAATCTGTTATGAATTGCTTTAGACGGGGCACGAGATGGACATGAGATGAGGACTGGAAGGAAGTAATCATCCGTGCTCCTTAAAAGCGTTCCGTTTAGATTACAATTGGTATGATTAGAGGGGTAAAAAGTATGAATATTAAGTAAAGCATAGAGTAAAATGGGAATAAATTTAATTGTTGCCAAATTGTTGAATTCACATGACCAGATAAAGGAAGGTGACCCTCTAAGATCTGTTCCTGGCATACTTCAGCGGTTGTCAAAAATATCACGTTCTTCTGCATGTCTCTGTGTGCAAATACTATTGCGGAGTTTTCTAATCAAAGAAAAACATTTTATTACAGAGCATGTATAGCAGATAAATTAAAGGTAGTTTTCACATTTGTCGCAAATTCGATTTCTAATTCAATTATAATCAGGGAAAATATCTTTGAGGTTCTTATGCTGTGTATCACGTTCACTGACAATGATTTCAGTTTTGTCAGAAATTGGCCAGTTCACCGCTATTGTTTCATCAAATGGGTTCACACCTGAAATACTAATTAGATTAAGGCTATTGTTAGTTCCGCTGTATTACCATATTCTGTAGCAGGATTGTACGTGCTCGTACACTTATAAGTTACGTGCGCTCCTCCAGCCGATAAACACTTAAAGAATCACTTTAGAACGTAATAGGAATTGAGTCTGACTTGGAAACCATGCAAGAACCCATCAGGAACCCAGAGAGCATGTTTGTTCTCGGAATTGAGAATTGCTCCGAACCATTTTCCAAAGGTTGGGCTACCCTTACGTACATCCACAGCTACATCAAATATTTCCCCTTGAATCTATACGAATGTAATTTCAATATATTACATTACTATGCATACACTTACCACAGAAACAAGTTTCCCCATGCCATCCTGTGCATGTAGTCCCCTCAAAACACCGTAACGAGAGAATGAGTGGTTATCCTGCAGAACGACATGAGAAAATAATGATATTCATATATACTTGTTCGAACGATTCTACAAAGTTGATTTCCTCGTTCCATTCTTTCTTGTTGTACGTTTCGGAAAAAAAGCCGCGATCATCGGGAAACACCTGGCACCATGTAGACAAAAGTAACAACAACAAAAAAATTTGCTCACCTTGGGCTTGATTATTTTGACATCAGGGATGTAGTCACAAGATTCCACCTGAAGGGTAACTCTTTTCGTTACTACAGGAACAGACATTTTCGATAAACAGAACAGAAATGTAGAAGGGAAATCACCACTAACAACCTTGACATACTAATAAGGCCTAATTTATTGTGATTCTAGAGAGCAGATAAATACAGTTAGATATATGAGAACCAACATTCATGAAGTGAATTATGCGTGAAAATTGTAAAGTAAGCTTCAGATATCAAGAACACCAGTTCTTTCAGAGACCCATGTTTTGACAGACTTGAAAAGTTCTTCTTTTGTGCTGTTTGAAATCAGACGTCTTGCTGGTCCCTTAAGTTGCTCGTATAAAGTGTTCGGATCAACGTCCTTAATTCCCTTAAAGCAAAAAGTTTATCAACATCGTTTAAATCGGATTGTAAACCTGTTCCTTGATTTCTTTTCGTATAAGCTGTTTAACCTCATCAACCCAACCTTCACTCTTCAATCGTTCTATTATTGCTGCCTACAAAAAACAGTCCAAAGCAGAAATCTGCATAGTTTACCGTAACACGATCTCTTTCGCCTGAGCTGATAAAATCTTTCTCTAATTGCTCCTTGGTAATGTTCATTTCCTAAAGCTTTATTATTACATAAATATAAAAAAACACTTAAATTCGAGAAAAAAAACAGTAAGTAGTAAAGCGGATGAACCCCTTAAACTCTCGGGCATGAATCACAAAGCTATCAACTCTTTAAGGCAATCGGTAACCGTATAATTAATACATTTTGAATGATAAAACATAAAATATCACAACTTAGAAATATATTAAGATTAAAGTTTCTCTATGAATAAGTACAAATACACGAAAGTGAGATCACAACTGTTCAGCCAAACTACACACAACATATTCCAAATTATCACGGAGTGTATTGTTCAACATAACTAAGAGGGAAGAATCCTACCTGAAGAAGTGCGAAAATACAAGTTTTGTTCTTCAACTTGACTTAATAACGAACCCTTTCTTCAGTTCCTTCTTTTATACATCCTTTCCACCAACCACGTTCTTCGCCAACTTTCTCTATGAGAGTGACAATGTCACCTTTTTTCAAAGACAGAAATTTTGGTTCATTTGCAGCGAAATCATGAAGTGCAATGAACAGCTTGAAGAAGATATCTATAGAACTCATCTCACACTTACATTATTCTCTCTATATGGATCGCGTAGATTTGTGTTAAGGAATTCGAAGCACTCGGACAAACTGTTCCTCTTATAGTAATTCACCAACTCCTAAAATATTAATTAAAATATTTTCGGAAAAATCAAATTTCGCACCACCACACTTGTGAACTTGCACACGTCGTCAAAGTAGTATAAGCCATCCAAACATTCTACTTTAGTGTGTTTGACATCTCCCATGTAACTAAGAGAAAAAGGACTGAATATATTATGCCTACTTGAAGGCACCTTATGCTTATGGCAAAATGATCCAAATTAGGACTAGAACGCACGAGAAATGTTCCGTTTGGTGTGTTTCGCAACTTTCTTTCAGCCTCTGTTCGCACCATTTGACCAACGTAAGCAGATTCATTAACGATATCCATACTGGAACGGTCTGAGGCTCGTGTTGGCGTTGCTCTTAAGTTGGTCATTGGAAAAAAAAGAGATTGAAGAACTGGAATTACATTGGCCGACGCGGGAGAATAGTAGACTCTTTTCGATCAATCCTAGCTCCAGCAGTACCTTCATCGAAGAGAAGAGATAGGTTATCCAAAGAAAATCCAGAAATAGAATTGACCTCAAATAAAATGTTGAGCATTTCTTAAAACAAAAAACTCATACTCTAACGCGACGAACATCAGATAAATTAACCAAACCTCTATTTTTTGTTTTAACATGCTCACCCTAAACTTTTCTTTTTTAGAAAGGCTGATCTTAATTAATTACAATAAAACTTTTGTCATCTCTGGATTGTACTACTTCAATTATATCGTCAACGTCATAAGACAGGTACTGAGGATCATTGCTGGTAACTCTGTTTTTACAGAGAACTTGTTCACCGGAATTTACTGAACAAGTAAGTAGATTAACAAGAAACATTCTGCTTACATGAGCTCCAATTCATTCTGCGAAATGAGGTGTCGAGAATGCTCATGGTGGCGTTTCCCCGATCTCTACATCTACCTGTGCATTGTTTGAGACTCAAACAAGATTTATGGAAAATGCCGTCACAGTCTGTAGGAGATGTTGCACCCCAATAAAGAAAATTAATCAACTTACATTCGCATTTATAGCCTTGATACATATAACCTTTCAAGAGTTTGTTGCAGATGGTACAGAAATGAGCTTTGGCATCATCAAAAGTTGTATACTTCACTTTGTGTTTCATGTCTTTCGCAGCCTGCGGAGACACATTATCGCTGAATCAGAACTCCATGATGAACCCAAAGATCGTCTAACTCACTAGCTGTGATTGAATTGCGTAATCCACTTTTCCATTTGCGTAAGGTTTTTAAATGTTAAAGTGATGTGCTTAATGGGTTCGGTATTGCAGCGAATGTTCCGTTCCCTTTCTTTCTCTTTGTCTGGTATGTCTCTGATGAGATGAACTTGGAACTTGGTTCCAGAGCTGAAGCTTCTGAAGAACTGAGATGTAAACTAACTTTCTTGTTCAAAAACTACCGAAGAGTTCCCTGACGATTCTCGAATGGCTCAATTTTTAGATCCTGAATGACGTAGGCTGCTTTGTACCGATATACACCCTGGAGCATTATAATATTTTCTGATTAATTTGATTATTTATACCCTTCGTGCCGCTTGGCATATAAAAAGAACTTTGTCGAACAGAAAAACATGTCTGTTTTTGTGTTTTCCTGATACCCGATCTACAGACTCCCTGATCTGAACTTCACAATCTGTGTTGAGACGTCCATAGTCTAATAACGTTGTTTCGCCAGGCTTAAAAACGTCCAGATACAAATCTTATATACGGATTAGTCTAACCATATTCAGATCATTCACACTTCTTTCCACTTCCCGTACCAAATGCATCGCCTCATGATCTCTTTTCATCTCATTAACATAGGCACTCAGGTCTTCCATTGCTTCTTTCGCAGACTCCAATGATTTCCTATCAGGTGACTCCACAGAAGTAGCTTTAAGCATCTCCTACAATACTAAAAGTGTTAAGATAGCAACTGTTGACTGCAGACTGTGAGCAATAAATGATATTTGAGAACTCGTTGCATAGGGAGGCATAGAAGATCCTGAAGTTTGAACTGATTCTCATTAACCTCTTGAGTGCATGCCTATAAAGTTATTCTTGAATAAATAATATTTTTCTTTGCCCTCACATGGATTTTCGATTTCAGTACGCAATCAGATTTCTCAATGTCTATTAATTTTCTTCTTGAATCGTCCAGCGTTGAGCAATAGGGCCCATATGCAATGAATTTTTCTTTGTGACTAAAATGATCTATTAGAAAACTTGATGAATAATTAAAATTCTCACTCTAAGAAAACATTCCCTATGTATTTATTATACGAAGATTGACGATTATCATTCACGGAAATGTTTAGAGTGTGAAAGACTGCTTTTTGTAAGTCGGTATAGAACGTCTGATGTAATGTCCACAAAGCCTGAAACACTGCGTGTTTCAAAACTATTCAGACGTTTTCCACGGTACCGAAATGTTCATAAAAACGATGCTATGATCCTTGGGATCTGTGAAATATTGTTGCAAAGGGGAATAGAATTTGGTCATTATCATATTTAAAGCTTTCTCAACATAATTTTTCTCAGTATCTAGAAGTTCTTTGATGGAATGTTCCCGTTTAGTTACTGGTTGAAAGGAAGACCACGCCTAAATGGAGTGACTATTCAGTCTTCTGACAAATTAGCCCCGTACATCATTTTTCCAGTCTCTTATGCTATCTTGCCTTGCTACGAAATGGTCGTATATTTTGTCTTCCTCTTCAGCTCTTAAAACGGTTTTTTTATCGCAGAAATCTTATTAAAAAACATACAAAGGGCGATATGTATAGTCGTAATCTGTATTATCGCTCTCCACCTTCTCCTGCAGGTTTCTAAACAAAATAAAATATCTTAAAGTTGGAACTCAAAACCTGTAAATATCATTTTCCTCCTGATATACATAATATGAATTATCAGCTGTAGTACGAGGGAACGGTCTGAACAAAACACAAACTCTAGAAAAAATAATGAATAACACCAAACCTTATTCCCTGTCGTTTGCATATATCTGACTTTGAGATATTTGATAAAGTTTTCATGACCTGTTAACAAGATATACAGTTTTTTTGAGTGCTCTCACCTTCATAAAATCGCTCATGCAGTAGAGTTCCCATGCTACAAACATAGTGTTCGGATCTAGCATAAAAACTTTTTGCGCTGCATCCAAAAACAAGCATATTATTCTTTCGCAATGAAACTAATCAACACGAGTATAAGATATCTGTAAACTTTGAAAAAAAACCTCTGAAAGATGGTGAACTTGTGTTGGTATGCATCTTTGATCTATAGCATTAGGCACGAGCTTATTTATCAGATGACATAAGAGAACACCATCCCTACAGAATATGATATTACCAGACAAAAACACAATTAACTCACTTAAGTAGAGCAGCAAACTCTTCAAGTGTTGCTGATGATTGAGCTACTTTATGATCTGATCTCAAGACATTGATATCTACAAGCCATTGAACACAGTCTCTCCACAACTCGAAATTATCATTTACACTCATATATGTTTCAAAAAACCTGTAAAACTCTAAAACAACTATAAGAATAGCGCTACGAGGTTTGGGAGGAATCTGATGAATACGAAAAAAAGAATCAAATTCTTCCAACACAAAAATGCAAATTGCTTTGCATATTTAATATTAAAAAGCTCAGACGGAAGTTTCAATGTTTCAGTGTAGAAGCACGCAGTATGCGCCAATAGAATTTGAGAATAGCTTGCGCAAAAACTTTTCAGTAGACGTCAACTGGGATTGGTAGAGCTTCACAAAACTTGAATGAGCTTGTGAAGAGTTTCTGCTTTGTTTTTATTTTAATGACTAAGAAATGATTCAGAAATGTTTCGTATAGGCGGGAGTTTTAATGAAATTTAGACGGCGTTCAGTTTTAATCGAATTGTATGGTATTTCAGCCAAATTGATTGCGTATTAATTGATGAAAGCTCTTCATTTATATAAATGTCTCCCTTCGGCTAGACGAATCAGTACAAGTTCTGCAGTTTATTGGCAAAATTATGAAAACGAAAGGCATTACGAGCCTGGGGAAGATGTCCTGAACCGAACATGGCATGGCCTCACTTATGACTTTCGAAGATGGAAGCGCAGATACTTGGAAGTAGGTTTAGAAGATTTCTTTGTTGCTATTGTTTGTGTTAAGGCAAGGAAGGATGCTTTCCAACGTAGAAATACTATAGCTCACATGAAACGGTCTGTATTGGATAATGAAGTTTTTCCCTTTCGAGCGGAAATCCTTGTCATTGGAGGAGGTCTAACAGGTACTATTCAGCAAGTTAAAAGGACTTTATTTTTTCCTTTTCCAGGTTCATCCACAGCTTTTTGGCTTAAGCAGCGGTTCAGAGATGAAGACTTGAAGGTTAGCTGTTACTTAATTACATTTTCCGTTTTCAGTTACCAAATATTTTTGTGATATCTTAGGTAGTGGTGGTCGAAGATAATTCAAACTTTATGGAAGGAGACACCATGAACTCTATTGGTAGTTTCACGCAACAGTTCAGCATACCTGAGCACATCGAAATGTCCCTGTTTTCAGCAGAATTTCTTCGTCATGCCGGAGAGCATTTACAAATCTTAGGTTTGAACAGTGTTTTGAGAACAAATATTGCTAATTTTCTTCGTTAGATAATCAACCTCCTGATATCAATATTATGCCGTCCGGGTTTCTGCGACTTGCCTGTACTAATGAAGAAGCGGAGGTTATGCGTGAAACATGGAAAGTCCAAGTGTGGGTGTGATATATCTATCTTCTTAATATTATTCTATAGTGAAAAGGGGGCTCGCGTTGTTTTATTGAATAAAGAAGAGTTGGCTTCACGATTCCCTTTCATAAATTTCGGCGATGTCGTTCTTGGATCTTTAGGTTTGACATCTTCAATTCAACATTAAAAAAGTCTTTCATCTAAGGATTAGAAAATGAAGGCGTGGTAAACACATGGCAACTTTTATCAGCGCTGAGAGAAAAGAATATAACTTTAGGCGTCCAGGTGATTAATACATTTTTCATATTTCCATTATTGCTATTTCATTTTTTAGTACGTTAAAGGACAAGTTCAAGGTTTTGAGTTCGAGCGATTACGCCCTAAAGCTGAAGCTCACACTATTTCGGGCATAGACGAAGCTGATGAGGAGAAATGGAGAAGTCAGAGAATAACTGGTGTCCATGTGAGAAAAATTTCACAAATGAATATCATGTAATCATTTCAAGGTCAAGCCACAGATGACTGATGCATCTGCACGACCCATAAGGGCTCATTTGATTGTTAATGCGGCAGGGCCATGGGCTGGCAGAGTAGCAGAAATGGCGGGAATCGGTTTATTTTGAAAGATGAAACTCTGACTGTGAAATGAAATTGTAGGCAAAGGAACGGGATTGCTAGCGGTCCCTGTACCTATTGTTCCGGTGAATCGTCCTAAATTTGTAGTTCACGCCCCGGACGTACCACCAGACTTACCGATACTGATTGATTCATCAGGTGTTTTTTGCCAACGGACAGATTTAGGACACACTTTTGTAGTGGGTAGACATTCAGTGAGTAATGTAAGAGTCAAAATCACCTTGCTAACGTTTAAATTTGAGAATGAGGAAGTATGCGACAAGGAGATAAATTATGACTGGTATTTCGATAACATAGCACCTGTGTTAGAGAAAAGGATACCGTTCTTCAAATCTGCCACGGTGAACTTTCCGTTTCCAACTTTCAGTAATCAAATGTTCATTTCAGATCAAAAGCGCTTTCTCGAGTGTTGAGTCACTCAACACCTTCGATTCTGCCCCAATCATCGGAGAACATCCACTATATAATAATTTATATATGATGTGTGGATTCGGCTCAAGGAATGTCATGCATTCTTTGGCTGCTGGCAGAGCCTTTGCGGAAAGGGTTTTCGACGGAGCTTACGTTAATATAAACTTGCGCAAATTCGATATGAGAAGAATAGTTAAAACAGAAAAGCTAATTGAGAAATTAAAAATATAAAGATTTAGCATATGCTATATACAGCTTTTAATAAGCAGTTTTCAATACTGTAATATCGTTATTGTTACCACATCCACATAGATCGTGCAAACTTACTTTCAGATGTCTGACAATGAATTGCCCCAAGGATGGGAGAAAAGAATGAGTCGAACTAATGGTAACGCGTTTGTTCCCTTTTGTTATAATCCTTTTATATTAGATCAAGCATACTATTTCAATCAGGCAACAGGTAGAAGTCAGTGGGAGCGACCAACTGAATCCGCCTTTGTTAAGGTACGAATGTACAATGTTTTCAAAAAAAATTCTGTCAGGGTCATGAGTTGAAAGAAGTTCGTTGTGCCCACATTCTTGTCAAGCATGCTGGTAGCCGAAGACCTGCCAGTTGGAGAAGTGATAATATAACTCGAACCAAAGAAGAAGCTTCTAATATCCTCCAAGGTATTTGCAAGCTTCTGACTTTTTTTAAATATAATAAATCTAGGGTACTTGAAAGAAATCAAAGATTCCTCTGAGCCTTCAACAACTTTTATGAAAATCGCCCAGGAATTCAGTGATTGCAATTCCGCTAAAAGAGGAGGCGATTTGGGAGTGGGCGTTGTGTTTGCTTAAAACGATAGTTACATCTATTTTAGACGTTTGGTCGCCAACAAATGCAAAAACCTTTCGAAGATGCCTCTTTCGCCCTTGACGTCGGTAAGATCAGCGGTATTGTTGATACTGATTCTGGATTGCATCTGATTCTTCGCATCTCTTGAAATTGATTTACTTTTCTCATGAATAAAATCATTCATACCGACTTCAGCGAGAGTTTCTTTTTTAAGTTTTTGTTATCAGCTAGTGGGCATGAATCACATGAGGCGGGGTTTTGTGTTTTATCGTGTGTATTGATCGACCAAACTGGGACCGTACTATGTTTTCTCTTGGTATTAGTCTTCACTGACGGTGAAAGCAGAGGCAAGCCGGTTTTGAGGAAAGTGCTTCCATAGCTTCTTTTACTCTAGTCTTTATTCATTATGATCGATTATTCTCATGTGAGCTATTTCCGCTTAAAATGCTTAGAATACTTTACGTCTCACTCCTTGCCTCATTCTGTTTCTTTCAAGTTAAGTATTTAGAGCTGCAGAATGCAACAAAATGTTGGAGAAGACGAAAAAGTTAAACTTCGCAACAAAAATACTCAATCTGTTCTTCAGAGAGGATTGGACGTTCTGCACGAAGGGGAATTGAATGAGGAAACAGAAGGTATTCGATCAAATTGTTTGAAATTCATGTACAGTTTCAGAAATTCGTAAACTGGATGCTCAACTTGATCATTTGAATGAATATGTGTCACAAATGGAACAAAGACTCAAGGATCACAATGACAAGATGATGGAAGCTCTGCGACAACAGAAGGAGGAAAGGGAAAAACGTAGAAAGAGTTTTCATGAGGTATGTAAAATACTTTATATTGTTCTTATTTTTTCTTTATAGAGAATGAGTCAGTCCCACACAGAAGATGAAGAATTCAAAAAACAAATGGAGAACATCCTTTCAAAAGTTGATAATAATAGACAAAGACAGTCCATTTATGATTTCATTAACACCTCTAAAAATTAAAAAAAATGTCTTAATTGGTTGTGTATGTGTTCTGTATATTTATTATAATTTTAGTCCGGTGTTTATGAAAAAAGTACTTGCATATCTCCTGTAATTTTTCGCGCTCAGAGCTCAAGTAAACACAAATCTTGCTTATGTGTGCTTTTAGAAATAAATAAAGAAGGAAAGAGTACCGTTTTAAAAGTCCTGCAGCGACTACCCTGACATTCACACTTGCATTCAGTATTCGTTCATTGACAAACCAGTTATATTATAAATCATGTTGTTTTCAATCAAATATTATTCATTACGATCATAACCATTTTCTTTGGTTCATTAACTGTCTAAAATATGTGAAAGCTTTTTTGTTCACCATAATTGTAATTTGAATTTGCAGGTTATCAATGGCCAGAGGGCAGCAGAAAATTCAGTCACAACAGGTTAAATTTCATTTCATCAGTTCATCCGTCATTATGACTTGTTAAAGAAGGCTGCCAAAAAAGCACAAGATTTGAAAAGAGCTCAGGGATGCGATCAAAAGACTGCAGCAATGAAAGCTCTAACGCATAAGTGTACTGTATGTATGGTATGCTGACCTCTTTCATTTACGTTTAGCATTCTGCTACGAAATTTCAGGCCCAGATGCCAGATCCAAAAACCTATAAGCAGCATTTCGAAAATAAACATCCTAAAGCCCCTGTGCCACCTGAACTTCTCGACGCGTAATTGCTCAAATGCAAGCTATTGTACGGGCTTTTCACATTGCTGTTGATACTAATGCGATTTGTGGTATAATAAAATATGATTTTATTATTAATAGATTCACCGAATTCGTTTGAACAACGAGGATGCAATAACGTTTGGTTCAGGCTTAGGCTTAGGCTTAGGCTTAGGCTTAGGCTTAGGCTTAGGCTTAGGCTTAGGCTTAGGCTTAGGCTTAGGCTTAGGC